TGCTGCTCATATTTTAATGGAAAAAAGAATGCAATTTTTAAATGTGTTTAAATTTTTTTACTTCTTTATTCATTTTAAACTAACATTACTGAAAATAAAACTTTATTTAAAGAAGAATATTATCAGTGCTACTGTCTAATGAAATATACTGTGATTTATAAAGACATCGAATATATTCACTTTTTCCTAAATCCAAGATCATCCTAGTAATTAACTCATTGTAACCAAACAATTGACTAAGCAAGTTCAACAACCGAAGAATACTAATTTTAAGCAGAAGNAAGGGGGGGGGGGGGATAACACTAAGGGTATAGGACAAAATTACAAAATTTTGTTACCAGCCAGTGGCCAGTATTAGCATTTTTAACCATTTGACACAGAATTTTTATTTTGTAATAATTTAAGTCAAAATAAGTGATAAATATTATTATTAGCAGTTAAATAATTTAAGGTTATGAAATACAGCATGAAACACTAGTTTCTTTTTCTGCGTTAAAATCTTCCAAACAATTGTTCAAATTTGTACTTCTTTTTTGAGCTATTTAGATCTAAGAAAAACAGTTATTCATCTTTGAAATTACTTTAATTTTCGAAATCAATTATTGTTAAATTTTTGAATATGAATGAAAAAAAATTTAAACTTACTTTTTTTTGGGGTTTTACATTTTAGTACTGATATAATTCCGATAATCTAGTAAATTTTTTCAGTAACTATACTGTTTTTTATAATTAAAAAAAGCCAAAAATATATTTTTGATTTTAGTTATAGGGTCAGAAAAAAATACATAAAATGGACACTGGCGTCCTCTCTCTGGGTGAAAGGGTTAATAGTGACTAATTTAAAAAACAATTGGCCTTTTTTTTTCTTTTTTGAATAAAAGATACAAAAAATTTAAACTATTAATATAAATAATTTCTTTTGAAGATTTCTAAAAATATGGTAAATACCACAGGGTTGATTTCTAAAATGAAGAAAAATTATGTAAAATTTATGTATTGTACATAATGATTTCAACTAATAAAATTTAGGGTTCGAGTTTTCGAACCACTAAGGAGACATAAAATTTATGTTTATTAACAAACATAATTTTTTTCGTTACAACATAAATCTGAAGTAATTCTAATCACAATGTTAATTATATATTAATTAGATTGCTTTTAAATTTCATTAACCACAAATGAAAAAATGCAATATGAAATTAATTTGAACTTTAATAAAACCATTGATAACTGAATTTAGTCCTGAAATTTTTAATCAGCGTAAAATAATTAGAGCATTTCAAAGATGATTTAAGTTTTCCTGTAGAATAAATAATGTGAGAAAATAAAACACGTGTTTTAGAGTAATATGGGATGGATTTTTGGCAAGAAAAGTTTATTAATTCACAAATTGTTGTCGCTGTTATATGTTTAGTCACCTTGTGGTAGGCGATAATCATCAATTTTGTCCTTTAGGTCAGGGTATGCAAATTATAGTAATTTGTAAATATATACTCAAACCTATGAAATCATTGTTACATAAAAGCACTAATAAGGAGCAGTTACATTGTGAAATTAACACTAGTGTTTCTAAAAATTCAGGTAATAAAGAGTTTACAAATGCTGTAAGTATTGTGTTAGCAGAAACAAATAAGTGTTGACATTATGAATTTATTATAAAATTTGTTAAGTTTAAATAGATAAATAAAATGTTATGAGTTTGTAAATAGCAGTTATGAAAATATTTAAATTTTTTGCTTAATATCAAGGTGTTGGTAAACTTTCTCCTTTAACAAAGTAATTAAGTATTGTATTTGTAAAGTTTCAAAATGAAGAAAAAGATGTAGCAGTTTATTTTTAAATGAATCTATCATTAAAAATAAATTCACTGAATTGCCATATCAAGTGAAAAACGATAATATTGTGATAAATATTGACTGCTTAAGTATTATTAATTATGGCAGTGCCTTTGTTAATGATATTTGTATTTCTGTTTCATTTCTTTGAAATTCAAAATATAATTGACATTAATATTGCATTGTTAGTATGAATATTTTTACTCATGTTTTTCTCTAGAGATTGGGTACTTGATAATTTCTATACTTACCTCTTATAAAAAAAAAAAATTAATTTTGAATATTGTGTAACTATTTGAAGCCCTTTTTGTATTAAAAATTTTTAGAAACGTAAATCACAAAAATTTAAAAAAAAAAATATGTCATGTATTTTTTTTATTATTTTTTTTTAAGGAAAAAGTTGGATTGTGAATTTGAAATTTCATTTGCTTGATGCAGCATGTGCATTTTATCAACTAAAGTTTAATCCGTTCAGGACTGTGATCACACGATTCTTCCTTTACAGCCCACAGTATTATATATCAGACAAGCCTTTCTAACTCTTGCAGCCCATGATAACACGAACATGATCTGAATTTGCTACACTTACATACTTTTCCTTTTTGCCGGTCCTGAACGGGTTAACACAACAAGCTAGTAGTTCTTTTGAATTTAAACTGAGCCATTTTTTTTTGTCTGCAAGCAAGTATATGCTAGTATTTTTGTTTAGATTAGCTGTATAGTTTTCTTTGTGATTCTTTTTGTAAAGAACGACTTTATCATGCATACTAGTATGTAGTTTCTTATTAAACTATTTTATTCAGATTATAATATTAAATCTATTTATAACAAGCACGATAAAATAGTAATTTATTTTTAGATGCATATAGCAAGTGGACTGATTCTTTTTATCGAATGTAATGCTTAGATTAAAGTAATCATTAAAATTGTATTTTAAGAAACTTCTGTGTCTTTTTTATAAATTGCCTTTAAAAACAAGGATTTTTTTTTTACTGCACAGTGCCCACTGCCTATTAAAATCATTTCTGTTTTGGGAACATTTGATTTCATCAAGCGGCTGATTTTATAAACCAGAATATCTATACTTAAAAAAAAAGTATTTCTAAAGTTTTAAAAAACTCTAAAAGCTAAACTGATTACTACATTTATAATTTATAAAAGCGTCTTAAGATATTAACATATTTGTTTTGAATAGAAAAATGTAAAATTAAAAATTCAACTTAGTTTGGAAGTTTAATATTGTTAAGTTTTTGTTACTTTCAATATTTTCTTTACTTTGATTCAATTTTCAAAAAGTGCTTTTTTGACACCTATTGAAGACAGATTTATTTTATTGAATTGTTATAGATATTCCATAAGTTTTCTTAATTCATAAAAAGTTTTATTCCTCTTTATTTCCAGTTTAATAATTTTTTAACTCTCACCCCTAAATTAAATGATTAAATAATCCATGTCTGTAACTTTCTAGGGGAAGGTGGAATGAAATTTATTAATTATGCTTTTATAACTTGAAAAATGGAAAATTCTAATCATTCAGGAAAGAAAAAAAAAGAGCAGAGTTTTTTTTTTTTTAAAAAAACATATGCACTAGAAAAAAAAAATGCAAAACAGTGATATTGATATTGGAAAAGAACATTTAAGCATGCTCTGATTTTGTAGTGATTCCATTATTGCAGATTTGATTTTAAAAAGCGGCTGATTTTATAATCCAGCAATTTTATTAGTGATGGTCACTGTAATATATTACAGTGACCATTTATTATATATTTGTTTTGATTAGTAACACTGTAATATATTACAGTTATTAACCTAATTTAGTCACCACAATTTACAAAACGCTGAATTACAAGTTTGACTTTATAATAATTTTCTATTTAACTGAATAATTAATAAACATAAATTTTTTGTTGTTGCAATTAATGAATCTTGAATTTATGAATTAATAATTCATGTTTTTAATATTATACTATTCTTATGAATTGTCTACTACTGTTGTAGAGGTACAGAAAATTTTCAGAGCCTAATATTTCTCTGGAACAGTTTTTAAGGTTTGAAATTTTCCCTAAAATTATTGTGCTTTTTTTTAAAGTTACTATAACTTTTTCAAAATATTTTTAGAAAGTAAAGTTTATATTTTGTTAAAATGTTTTGACAATATTTTTTCTTTAATAAAAGGGAAAAAAATTCATTGAATAAACTAGCGTATGCATTAAAAATAATATTTTTTGGCATATTATAATTTAAAAATAACTAATAGAATTTAAATTAATTAATAAATAAATTGACATATAAAATTTCTTTCACAAGGAAAAATTTTGTTAAATGATGCATTTTTTTTAACAAAAAAAAAAAGTTTGCAGCAATTTTTTAATTGGACCGAAAATTTCTTTAGGCTGCCTGAACCTCAGACTAAACTAACTGCTGTGGACACCATTTAATTTTATTTTGCCACATGTCTTAAATGATTAAAAAAATGCCTGTTTTTTGTTAATGAGAAAAAAGTGTATTTAAATAGAATAAATTTTACCATTATTTATTTAAGTAAGTTTAGTAAGATTGTTTAAGTAAAACTATCAAATTGATTGCCAGTTCTTATTCCATGATAAGATATTGCATAAGGAATAACTTCAAAACTAAAGAAAAAAAGTATGGATTTGAATTTCAATATATAAGAATGATTTTCGGCTGCGTTAAAAAATGAGTTAATTGTCTTTTCTAAACTTTTTAGACTACAATGTTGCAATGCAAGGTGAAATTTTTTTTTACTTTAATGTAAAATTAAGTTTTTGGAGTCTACTACACTTGGATGTGGTATGATTTTTAAATCAGATTTTTATAATTTAAGATAATTTTAAATTCTATTATATAACGACTTGCCATTATATCTTATCTAGTCAAACCTTTTTCTTCTTTTTTTTTAATTCCTTAGAATATTTTACTTTCTGTCTCAAAAGCACTTTTTATAAATAATAATTAATACTTGTGGCAAAATTGTGTTTTTAAAATGCAGAAAATATCAATGTAATAAAAAAAAAAGGTAACTCATGAAATTACTGATGCTTCTTAAGACTTCCAGCAATTCATACACATTTTTATTGTCAATAGAAAACATAATAGAGTGACGTATATACATATTTAAATGAAAATTAAAAACAAATGCTTGAACTAAACAACAAGACGGTAAGATATATAACGCCCTGCAGTTTCACTGTTTCGTATAATTTTCACCACCTGATGAAAAAAATATTAATTAACACCAAACAAAAATGTATTTATATACAGTAGAGTCCCGATTATCCGGGTTAATGGGGACCGCAACAAACTCGGATAACTGAAAAACTCGGTTAAAGCGAAGAGTATAAAAATGGTAAGAAAAAGAGAAGGTATAAATGTAATATATTTAAGAAATACAAAATGTATACGAGTATACCACATACAATTCATATTATAATTGAAAAGCTTACTTAAAAACATTTAAAAAGCATACTTTACGAGAATTAAAAAAATTTTACTTAAAAAAAGTCCTTAATCGTTTTTTGTTCTACGTAACTTTGGCGCTTTTCTGTAGTAATGTTTCGCCTTTTTTAGGGATAACAGGAAGGCTGGTGTCGCCTCTTTTTGTTGTTCTATATATTCAATAGTTCATTAGATAGCTTTTAGTCCATCTGTATGAGAGATTTTTATATGTTGATTTTAATAATCACTGTCTTCATCATCTTCGCTAGATTCATTATCATTATTGACGATATTAACGATAATTTCATCAGACCAAGTTGTTGGATTTTGTTTTTTGAGTGTTTGGAAGATAAAATTCAGATTTATTTTTCAGCGGTTTTTTTTAAAAAATAAACTAGAACAAAAAAAATCCTTGAAATATTTTATAGCTCGGTTAAAGCGGAAACTCGGATAACCGGGGCTCGGATAATCGGGACTCTACTGTATATATATATATATATTAGAAGAGATCTCAGACTTTGAGTTTGTGGAGCACGCACTAAAATTTTCAGACACTGTTGCCATTTGAAAAGAGCTGAAAAAGTTTAATGGGTTTTAATCTTATAGAAGAGTAGAAATTTTATCTTTCTCTTATAAAGATTTTAACTTTTTCTGTTGTAATGTTTTTTTCCAACAGAATTATTTAAAATATTTATAAAAAAAAATTATAAAATAAATAATAATGATGATAAATAGGAACTATTGTACAAAAAAGGGGGTTGTCAAACATTTGGTTAGATTTAAAGAGCTGAACTTGGAGCATGCTTCAAAAGCTCTCTGTCGCAGAATTCTCCAATTGAAAATAAGGAAAAAAGCTTGATAATTAATTACCTGCCCTCTCTTAAGTCCATAATATCTAGCAACAGGATCACCAGCTTGAATTCTCATCAGTTGATTTTCTTTAAGCTTACTAAAAAGTTCAATAAAGAAATTTTTTTTAAATATATAATTACATCCTAGATCAAAAAGCAAATGCTAATAAAAAATAAAATAGTACAGCCCAAACCACTTATAAAAAAAAAAGAAGCTCAGAAATAAAAATGATAGAACATCAAAATAAATTATATTTGTAACCATTTGAATTAATTTGATTAAAAAAAACAATAAATAAAATTCTAGTATACAATTGTTAATAGCTACATTAAGTATACAAATGTATTGGGTAAAGTATTTCTCATAACTGTTTATTCACTTATTCTTTAATAACAAACCAATAAAATTTGTATTCTTCTTCAAAGCGAAAAAAGAAATTGTGGGTTATTTCAACAAGTTTTGAAATATAAGGTAAAACCAGAGTCAGCATTGCACAGAAAAGATTTTACTAAGGTTTACATACCACCTAATTTTAAGGGTTCTAGATGGTTTTGATGTCATAGAAAAAGCATCAACGCACAACTTTTTTCAACTTTCTATAACTTACTTACCATAAAATTTAACTTAGAATTCTTAATTTTTTACAGGAGTTTAACAAAAGCACTAACATTATTTAAATGCAAACACTTTTCTGAAACAATGCAAAGAGCCTTTATAATTTAATTTCATTTGTAGCTAAATTTAAAGGGGGAAAAAAAGATTATTTACTGTCTTGCTTGCACGATAAAAGTCATTAAAACCATGTGAATGACTTGATATAACTTTTAATAGGCAGTCAAATGTTTTTTTTTTATTATAAAAAAAAACCATGCTAGCTCAAAGAAATTTAAAAGTAAAAAAATATTTTCTACATTTTATTTTGACTTCTAAAGAAAAAACCAAAATATTTATTAATATTCAAGGGCAAGACTTCAAAAGAAAAAACCAAAATATTTATCAACATTCAAGGACAAAAGGAATTTAAGCAACATGGTATATTCAAACAAATTATAATAAATGTTTCTATAAACATTGAACATGAAAAGAATCAGTGATCAGCTATTTCACAAATTGAATTATTAAAATTTTGCTGTGTAAAGAATTGTGCAATTTTGATGACAAAAATCAAATCCATTTGAGGGTCTTTTAAGTTTCAAAGAAATTAGAGCAACTATCAAAATAATAAACATGACAACCGGTTACCAGATGATTCCAGTTAACAGGTTAGTTTCATTAAATTTTTAAAAAATGATAAATGCAATAATTAAAACTTTGAAATATGTTGTTCCTTCTGATTACTATATATAAAAACCAAAATAATTATTCGAGAACTTATTTGCAAGTTAATCACAAAAATTCGAAGGGATAAGAAATGTGGCCATAAAAAAGCAATTTTAATAAATAAACTATTGATCAGTATTGATGTCTATTTATTATTTCTAATCTAAAAACAAAAAGAGAGAAAAAAAAGCATACTATCTGTTTAGAAGTTCAGTTTTTTCTTCAGGTGTCATAACAGCATGCTCTGGAACCAACTGGAAAAAAAAAGAAGAGTTTTGAAATATTTATTGTTTTATAAAAACAGTTCCATAAATGAAGCCCTTAATATATATTGTTAGAATTTTTTTTTCTTTGTCAAAAAAAGAGTACTAGCATAAAATTAATATTTAAGGTAGGAAAAAAAACACTTTTAAAATTTAAAAAAAATCGCAAGTGAGGCAGGTGAAACTGAAAACATCCAAACCTGTTTGATTACTGGAGGAACCAGAAGCGAGATGATAGACAATTATTAAAATCATCTCCAAATGATATATTTTTAGTCTTATCTTCTACATTAGCGATTTTGATATCAATTTTGTATCTTCCTATATTTTTTAAATCATCTGATTTTTTTTAATGAAGAAAATATTTTTTATAATTTGATTTAAATTGAAAATACTTAATTAATATTGAAGTAATACCTAAAATATTATTTGATGTTTAAAATAAAAAAGAGAATAATGATGAAAAAAGTAACTGAAACTTCCAAATTAAATTCTTCCATCAGTTGTATATAAAATAATTTGTTGTTTAATGTCAATGTTATAACTATATCCATTTTTTTGTTGTTGTTAACAGCACTTTTTAAACTAATTAAATATGTAGCTCGTAAACATCCATATTAATAATGAAGAAAAACATTTCATTAGTCCGAATAATTTAGAACAATTGATTTTTTTTCTGATCTAAATTAATTAATTCTTTCCTTGAACTTTAATTGACTAATTGGAACTTTGTCTTTACAAATTCATGAGGGTGCTAAGCCTGAATAAAAATAAATGTGATTTCTTTTAATTAAGCGATTAATTCTAATAATTATATATTAATTTAAAATTATTGTTATTAATTTTAAACATTTTTGTTTGAATTATAAAGTAAAGTATTTTAGTCATAATATTATTTGCAGATAATATTAAGCATTATTAACATTTATCATTACATTTTATCAGCTTTGATTTATCAATGTAAAAAAATACTTAATTAATATTGAAGTAATACCTAAAATATTATTTGAAGTTTAAAATAAAAAAGAGAATAATGAGGAAAAAAGTAACTGAAACTTCCAAATTAAATTTTTCCGTCAGTTGTATATAAAATAATTTGTTGTTTAAATTCAATGTTATAATTATATCCATTTTTNTTTTCCATCAGTTGTATATAAAATAATTTGTTGTTTAATGTCAATGTTATAACTATATCCATTTTTGTTGTTGTTGTTCAACAGCACTTTTTAAACTAATTAAATATGTAGCTTGTATACATACATATTAATAATGAAGAAAAACATTTCATTAGTCAGAATAATTTAGAACAATTGATTTTTTTTTCTGATCTAAATTAATTAATTCTTTCCTTGAACTTTAACTGACTAATTGGAACTTTGTCTTTACAAATTCATGAGGGTGTTGAGCCTAAATAAAAATAAATGTGATTTCTTTTAATTAAGCGATTAATTCTAATAATTATATAATAATTTAAAATTGTTATTAATTTTAAACATTTTTGTTTGAATTATGAAGTATTTTAGTCATAATATTATTTGCAGATAATATTAAGCATTATTAACATTTATCATTACATTTTATCAGCTTTGATTTATCAATGTAAAAAAATTCGATTTAAATACAGAACGGGACCGATTATCCGGAACGATCGGGACCATCGCTATTCCGGATAACTGATTTTTCCGGTTTTCTGAATCGCTACAAAATGCCATTTTTTTATTGTTAAACCCAACTAAAAAAAATATTTGGTAATAATCTTAAAAAGAAGAAAAAACGATAATGTAATACACTAATGATTATTTCCAAAATGACTGTAAGGTAAACATCTTTCAAAAAAGAAAGAAAAATCCTAAAATTTTATGAGGAAAAAAACATTATTTTNAGAACAATTGATTTTTTTTTCTGATCTAAATTAATTAATTCTTTCCTTGAACTTTAATTGACTAATTGGAACTTTGTCTTTACAAATTCATGAGGGTGCTAAGCCTGAATAAAAATAAATGTGATTTCTTTTAATTAAGCGATTAATTCTAATAATTATATATTAATTTAAAATTATTGTTATTAATTTTAAACATTTTTGCTTGAATTGTAAAGTAAAGTATTTTAGTCATAATATTATTTGCAGATAATATTAAGCATTATTAACATTTATCATTACATTTTATCAGCTTTGATTTATCAATGTAAAAAAATACTTAATTAATATTGAAGTAATACCTAAAATATTATTTGAAGTTTAAAATAAAAAAGAGAATAATGAGGAAAAAAGTAACTGAAACTTCCAAATTAAATTTTTCCATCAGTTGTATATAAAATAATTTGTTGTTTAATGTCAATGTTATAACTATATCCATTTTTGTTGTTGTTGTTCAACAGCACTTTTTAAACTAATTAAATATGTAGCTTGTATACATACATATTAATAATGAAGAAAAACATTTCATTAGTCAGAATAATTTAGAACAATTGATTTTTTTTTCTGATCTAAATTAATTAATTCTTTCCTTGAACTTTAACTGACTAATTGGAACTTTGTCTTTACAAATTCATGAGGGTGTTGAGCCTAAATAAAAATAAATGTGATTTCTTTTAATTAAGCGATTAATTCTAATAATTATATAATAATTTAAAATTATTGTTATTAATTTTAAACATTTTTGCTTGAATTGTAAAGTAAAGTATTTTAGTCATAATATTATTTGCAGATAATATTAAGCATTATTAACATTTATCATTACATTTTATCAGCTTTGATTTATCAATGTAAAAAAATTCAATTTAAATACATAAAAAAAGATTTTTTTTTCTTTAAAAAAAATCTTGACTTTTGCCAATCCTATAACCAATACGGACAGCCTAAATAATAAAACAATGCTTGAAGGTATGTTAATATGTTCGGTAATGCTATTTTGCAATAATTTTGATTCTCAAAATAGTAATCTCTGATTTAGTAAGCAATTTTGACACGAATCTCATTTTCATGTGAATACATAAATAAAAGTTAATTTTCTTCCTATTTAAATAAAATTATAAGAAATTACCTCATGTTCAGTGATGTTAATTAGGAGTTCTGATTCCAGGAAATATTCTAAAATGTATTTAGGAGCCATGTCTACCAAAGCCTGAAATAAACAGAATATGATGTAAAAAAAATAGTTATTTAATAGATCAAAATAAAATATTTTATTACAAAATCCATGGAACATTACTTGTTTAGCAGATGGTGTCATTCCATGCTGTACAACGATGATTGCTCTGGAGATATTTTCCTCCTGCATTCTTTGGCAGTAAGTCTTAATGACTTTAATACCGATTTTTGTGTCATCAGGAAAAAACACAAACATTTGATCTGCAAGTTTACGAATAATTCCACTATTATACAATAGTAAGCAATAAATTAGGGTTTAAAATTAGTAAAACAAATAATTTGTGAAAAGCAATATTCAAACAAAGATACATAATTTTTAAGTTTCAAAACAGAGAGAAATTAGTTTGTATTTTATTCGTTAATCAATAATTATAAATTAAGCCTACCCTTTTTCTGGCATAAGTTAGTGATAAATATTGTTTTTATCTCTGAACATTGCCTTGTATATTAAATACTTTACAGGTGAATTTCATTGAATCAATTTTTATAAGGAGATTTGCAACTAAAATTAAGAATTGAAACAAACATTTGATCATTTTTCAAGATTTAAGTCTGCTTGCCAGGTTCAGCATTCCTTATTATAATAAAATTAGAATTAGCCTGTTTTAATTTACCAACAGGTAGGCATTCTACTTTGCTTAATAGAATGGTTTTATAAATAAAATAAAAAAGACCTAAAAAAACTGAAGAACATGCTCTGTAAAAAGTTAGCCAGGGATTATATATGAACTCGCTTAAAAAAGCGAATATTGATTAAGAAAAATGAGAAACAGAATACTTAAAAAATTAAGTGGTTTAAGTACATAGAGATTTAATCTCCTGATATTTGTGGAGGTTTTAGTTTAATAAAATGCATATGTTGCTATTTTTATGTTCCATTAACTTGATTTATAATGACTTCGGCCACCACGTAATTTAAATTAACACATAAAAGTTATAACAATATTCTATAAAAATATTAAGTTTTTGCATTTTTAAAATAATTCTTGCACCCGGTTGTAAAATCAATTTTTTAAATGCTAAAACTTCAAAGAATCTTAACCAGAAAGAGTAAAAAACAGCAACTATGCAAACAGCAATTACATGAAAATGTTATATTAATTCTGTGATATATATATTGACATTTGTCAAAGAGAGTAATGGCAATAAGATTTGGGTAAAAACAGCAATTGTAACAAAGTAAAAGTTACACCATTTCACTGAAGGATTCAAATTTTGTAACATAATTTACACGTTTCCAAGATAATATTACTAATACAGTTTTTATTTGGAATCTTAGATAACACAGATTTTATTTGGTAAGTTTTAAATGTGGTGCATTGATTTTCAATAAAATTGAAAATGTTTAGGGACACACCATGGATTCAATTAATGTGAAGAGACCAATGTTTTTTAAATGAAACACACATTTTTTTCTCTCCATATGATGTAAGTATTGTAAGCATAGAATTTTTAAACTATTATAAGAAAAATAAATATATTTAAAAAAAAAGTAAAATTTTCAAACATATACACTGAACTTACTTTAAAAAAAAATTACCATGACAATGTTAAGGAATGTTACAACACTTCTATAATGATTTATTTTCAATTTAAGTAACTTTTTTACATTAAAATGTTAGTAAGATAAAAAGTTAACATAATTTGCTATACATCTTCATAGGCATCGTAAATTAATTCCGTATAATATAATATAAAGTAAATATACCAGTGGGATCATCGTTATGGGCAACCAGAACAATTAGATCACTTCTGGCTGGTCTTCTTTCACTGGAAAAACAATGAGACTTTAGAAAAAGAAAACAAAATCGCAAAAGTTAACAGAGTTGTATTGGAATCAATAAGTGTTAATTAAATTTAACTCACTCTCAGCTTAGAGCAACGCAACCGCTACAAATTGAATATAATTAAGCAAAAAAGTCATTTAGAAAAAAAATTTAACCATTTTTTTTCCTGCCATGTTAAAGATCCTCTTTAGCCAGAAAAAGATTTCATTCTCCATGTTAACGTATGAAGAATCGGATAGTTACATTTGATGTGAAATAATTCATTGCTTCATGGTATGTTAGGCAATGTGAAAAAAAAATCTAATTCTGTTTTAAAATGAGGGTTCAAACTTGAAAGCGGTAGGAGATCTGAAGATATTTTGATTAAAGATGATAGATTGTCCTAAACAGGATTTTCAAATTTCATAGGTGCACTACCCAAAATGTGATAAATGTATTCATTGAAAATATATACCCTTGCAAAAATACTAAAATAAAGGTTTGATTATACAGTAAAGTCAAAAAATATCTGGCTAACAAAAGCATAAATAAAAACAAAACATATAATGAGATAAATAAAAAATAAAAGCACAAGACAATTTATGGAGCAACAGAGAGTTGTTGATTTTTGATGAGAATAGTTTTTGTATTGAATTTAAGGTTTATACTAACCTGTTACGGGTTTTTCCATTTATTTTGCAAGGTTATTACTACCCCGTTACGGGTATTTTAATGTACATTTGTTTAGTTTATGTGTGATTGTCAAATAAATGCGTTTTTATAAGAAACTGCTTCTTTAATATCGCTTGATTCGTTACAGTACTATATGCACATACTCGTTTTGTGATACTTTCTTAAATCTGAAATGTAATTCTTGCGAAACTTAGTGCAGCATGTCTGTTTCAATGCTGATGATAGCAGCTGCGATACAGGCCTTCAAATGGGTCATGGTCGCTGGACTTAGAGGCACATATAAACTATCTTTTACAAACCTTCACAATACCTGGAGTGAGCAGATTGACGGATCCTGGTGGCCAAGGCAAAAGCGCTTTGTCAATCCATAAAAAAGTTGTGCAAGGGGGAAGGTTTTTTCAGTTTGTTTTGTTTTTGCAGAAAAGACTGATGAATGTTTTTTCAGTGATATATATTGAAGATTATTCAAAACTATGAATTTAGAGGAATTCATCTTGACTTACCTAGTGTACTATATAAATATACATTTAATTTTGTTTTGAGATTGGATAGGATCTTCATTATATTGCATTTGATCCTCCACATCAAATTTTACTCACTCCTGGATTAATATCTACTATAGTATATAATAATCAAATAGAAAAGTTAAAGAAAATTTTTTTTCTTTAAATAATACTAGTTTTTTTGTTTTAATCATGACCATCAGCTAAATTAGAAAAAAAAAAGTTTCCTACATTTCTTCTTGATGAGTTGTGGGGTAATAAATGTTCTCTTAATGCCATAGAGCAATGAGCCACCAGTCAGTTATGTGGCATATGAAACATTTATAATTGGTATAGTAAATATTAAGTATAAAATGTAAAAATATCTCCATAGCAACTTCCTACCACTAAATGAGTTTGCTTAGATTAACAATGCGCACTTTATATGATGAGAGATGGTGATTATAAGAGATGATGTGACGATATTCCGGTATGCATAATACAACTCGAATGTGCATAAATGCGTATAATTATACACGAATGTACAATAATATTCATAATATACACGAATGTACGAGCACAGTTTGTGGAAATTTTTTGGAATGTACAATAATATTCATAATATACACGAATGTACGCAAATGTGCGAGCACAGTTTGTGTTAATTTTTTTTAATGTCACTAATTTAAAAATAGGAGGGGAAAAAAAAGTCAGAACTCTTTTATTCAACCCTGCCTTCAATTTTAGGAAATTTGGAAACAACAGAAAATTTAGTAAGTCAATAACTAGTTTTATTGATCAAAAAACAGCCAAATTTAAAGAAAGGCATGCTGGGAAAAAATAATCAGTGTTGGGTTTCATAAAATTTTTTAAAAAAAATCTGATTTTCAAACAAGGTTGCTCTAAATTAGGTGGCGGCAAAGGGGTTAAAACTAGTTATAAGAGAAAATAAACTGCTTGCAAAAAGTCAAAATTGAAATTTTGTGTTGGCAGAAAGTTTTTTATTTTATCTAAGTCAGATGATATAAATGAGAACAGTTGTACTACATAATACTATTTTGCTCACATTTCTTGTCCTATATTGCACCATCTTGTCTCATCAATAATTACCCTTATTTTGTGTGTCAACGATAATTAAAAATCCACCACACCATAAACGAAAAAGAACCTTGTCAAAACCTTCCTTTGGAATCAATAGAGGTGAGATTAATTAATTCCATCCAGAAAGATTTGATGTTTTCTTTTCTAGTGAAAATATATTAATTTACAGTTACATTAATTACAGTTACATGAATTTACAGTTTGACTTTGAGTATGGCGAGGCAGTCAAATATTTAAAAAGCAATCTTGAACCTAGTCAAGAAAAACAGAGTGTAAATTAATTATTTGAATTTAATTAATAAATAATTAGTTTTTGAATAACAGCAACTGAATTATTGTTTTAAAATTAATATGTCTGATATTTCGTATTGAAGAAAAAGAAACCTTTTTTTGTGATAAACAAATATAAAAAAAATTTATCATGGATATTGTATAGATATAGAAAAAATTAGTTTTAAGTGGCAATAAGGGATATACAACTTATTTAATATTTTAAAAACATGATTCATCTTTAATTCTATTAATTTCTTAGCTACTTTCCTTCCTGACAAATAAGTAGGTGTGTAGAGACAAGCGTGGAAACTTACAAATTCAAATTTAGAGAAAAAAAAGTAATAACAAAATTTAGTGTACTTTTATAAAAAGTTTTAATCAAATTGAATAATTCATTGTACTCGTAAGAATCTATATTATTTTAAAATTTTTGGGAGAACTCTTTTTCAGAAGCCACCATATTATGTGATTGAAGTAGCACAACTGAATTTCAATTTTATGAAATCAAATTAAGATAATGATATTTTAAACTTAAAAATAAAACGATCGTAAAAGTATGATAGCACAAAATGTTTGTTTCAGTGACTGCCAAAAAAAATTTCAACTTTTGAGTGGATCCTTTCCCATGTCGACATTGCTGGTAATGAGTCTGCAAACTCCCTTGCTAAAAGTGGGGCAACTCTAACCTTGTTTTCTCAGGCATCCCAGACCTTTTCAGAAGTGAATACCTGCTCTGGTGTCCCTCCAGTGCGGTAGATGGTCATTTCTCGTTTTTGCAGTAGTCATCTGAAATCTATTACATACACAAAAAGGTTTTCCCGATATGTTCGAAGTAGACATGATGGCTCAGGGGATGGAGTGTTCACCTTCCAACGACTTTCCCCACAAAATTACTTTACGTTGCCTCACTTAAAAAAAAAATTTATTTAAAGTTTCTTCCTTTTAACTTGCAATATCTTAAGACAATTGTACCCACTTCAATAAAACTTACGTAGAAAATAGTTTCTATATGGTTTTTTAATTGACTTGAGAAAAGTAAGGCATCCTGGTTTATTTTTGAACTTTTGAAAATCTAATTAAAAACTTTTTGAACACGCTTTCAATATAAGATCATTGATTTTTTGAAACATAGATCTTTGCATTTTTAATATTATATGTACTGTATATATAGGTTTACAAGTCTACTTTTCAAAATCAAAAAATTTTACGAAAATCAGGAGGTTAACTTCCGCACCAGTAATAAAGTCGGGCATTTGTTGATCGTAAAATATTGATGCATTATAAAGAATGAGATAGATATGAACAACTCTATATCAATTTATCTCTTTCAAAAACTATTTTTTAATGTGTTATATACAATTATTTTTGCATTCTCACTCATCAAATTTTCTTTATATTAATTTTTTAAAAAAATACTTTATATTACATACAGAAAAAAATAAGAAGAAAAGATAATTCAGGGTTGCCACTCAAATCTGGAGAAAAAAAAATTCCCCCATTTTCCCTGTACACATTATACACAATAGATATATGCATTATACACAAGCGGAAACACAATTACTGTGCTCTTGTGTAAGCTATATTGGGCTAACTATACTAGTTTTAATTGCTGGAAAAGCTTAGAGAGAAAAAAAGGAACACCTCATCCTACTTAAATGATGCTATAGTAAATGTAATAAGTTTAGTATAGTTAGAATATCATCCTTTAGATTACCCATTGAATGGTCACCATTTTTTAAAAGACTAAAATCAGAAACTAAATTCCCCATATTTTCCCAGTTTGTAAAGAAAAAATCAAAAATCCCTGTATTATCCAGGTTTTCCCTGTGGAGAGGCAACCCTGTAATTTCAGGTATTTCAAAAAATATAACAGAATGATGACTTTTAAAAAATACCATTAAGTTAAAAATTTAAATATTCGGGAACATCATTTATGTTGGATACAATAACGTTAGCAATGTCGTTATACAGAACCTATTTTGCAATAGATTTTACACCAGCTTCATCTGCCGTCGCACAAAAAAATGAACCATTATCCCCATTCAAAGAATTCGAAACTCCTCACTTTTTAATATATCTTAAAATATCTGAATTCACACTTTGCTATGTGTCTAAGCATTATTTAACCCATGACTTCTATAAGAGCAGTGTGGAAACTTCCTGTTTTTGTAAGATTTTGATGTGAAATATTTTTTATTTGAAACAATTTTGTAAATACGATATTTATGTTTATTGATTTTAAAATTTTTTATATTTGGTTTGTTCTAGAGGTAGACTTACACAGTTGAAAAGAAAAAAAAAATTCGCTAACTTGTAATTGAAAATAGGGAATCTACTTATACTCCAGATTTAAGGTAATATATATATTTCAAGATCGAAACAGGAGGTCCAGCGTGTCTTAGAGATGTGAATGAAATAACTATGAGAATGGATGTGCAAGAAATTTTAATATAATTTTTATCTTCTGTACATGAACAAGAATTGCAGAAGTCTTTGGTTAAACCATGAACAACTGTACAATAAGCTAAAAGAACAATATCAATCTTTTTTTTAAAATTAATACATTCAAAAACATAAATATTCTCTCTTACAACTGCATAACATACAATGTTTTGTTGTAGTTATTTTTTTAAATTATTTTTTTTTAGCATCTTTATAAAAATAGTGTCCCATAACATACAAGATCCTTTAGAATTTAAACTTTTTTTATATTTCTACTACAGTCTTGGGAAGAATGCCAAGGTCGAAGTTGAAATTTAGGAGTCTTTATTCTAAGAAGAGCATCTTGTGCTGCTTTATCACTTCCAAACACAGCGAGAACAACATGTTTGGTTTTTGAAACTAACTCGTCACTCACTTCTATACTTTTGAGATTTTCAACACTCATTAAATGAATTTGTGCTCCGAGTTCGCATAAAGGTTCAAGATATTTCCCTAAGTCATTTTGTTTTATATTTTCCGGTAAAGCGATAACTTCCAATATATGATTACCATCTCCTTCTAATATAGTCTGTGATACTTGACTAGCTGAAATGGGATTGCTGCCTTTGGATCGTTGCTTCCGAGGCTTTATAGGACGACTGGTAGGAGCACGGTGGGAAATAGGAGCACCAGGGAACCTAGCTATTGCAGGTGGTTGTGGCAACAACACTGAGCTCATGTGTTGCTGCACTGGAGGACCAACGAAATAAAAATTATTTGCAAGAGCAGCATGCTCTGCAATACCGGGATCACTCGCCTGCTTGACCAAAGGAAAACTTACAGGCATTTTGCTCATTGTGCAAATGGATGCAGGATAATCAGAATGCAGCATGTGAGGTAAAGGAGTCGAAGTATTACCTATTGTAGCAGCTAATGGAGGGACGTTTGTTTGTAAAATTTGATAAGCTGACATATAGGCCGGAACAAATTGAGGAGCTTGAGCAGAGATACTAGTGTTTGGACCAATGGTTACTATTGTCAACGGAGACTGAGCTGGTAGACACTCAGACGCCGGAGTATATACAGTATATCCCAAGAACTGTCCAGTACCAGAATTAAATGCAGGATGCAATACACCAACACCAGAATTAGATTGGACTGGAAGAGATTGTGAGCGTAATGAAGAGAACTGCACAGCAGCGTGCCCGCCGGCGTGAGTTCGAGTGGCTGGCGATTGTGTACTACTAGTTACAGACACATAAACGGGGGGTAAATTAGAAGGAATATGAAACTGCATACAAACAGGAGGTTGTGAAAGTTGACTAGGAAAAGATGAAGATGGTTTTAAAGAAACGGCAGTTCCAGATTTACCATGAGGATAAATGCTAGTTGATGCACCAGGTTTATTAAATGTACTCTCCGTATTAGCAGAATGCGCTAAAGTGGAATAACAAGACATACATTGTGAGTTCAATATATGAGTGGTAACTACGGTTGTATGACCCTTTCCTCCAGCACTGGTTAAAGTTGTTTGAGATGAGCTCTGAGCAGACTGTTGTGTGGTGGGACATACTACTTGATGTAGAGCATGAACGTTTGATGTATGCTGCAAATAACACACAGGAAATAAAATGAAAGGCCTGGGTGGATGGGGGGAAAGATGTGAGCCAACTGGTTTAGATGGAGCACCATAAGGTACATAAAAAGCAGTTTGTGATGAAGTATTTACACCTGATTGGGGTTGTATTTGGGGTAACAACTGAGAAGATTGGGGATGACATAAATGGGTGGGGGATGAAGGTGCAGTTCTTGAAGGTATAGAACCTATAGATGTTGGCACTTGATCTGTAACAGAGCCAGATACATTTTGAGATGATGGAGTAGCTTTTTGATGTGCGGATTGAAAATGTTTGCATGCATCTGTATAAAGCATGTCTGTTCCACTGGAATAGGGCCACATTAAAGGAAGTGAAACACTCGAAGTCGATATAATATCTTTCGACAATTCTTTATTGCCCGATTCAGTAGTTGCTTGCTCAGGATCTTTAATCAAAGGAACTTCTACTTCTATGGGTTGAATTGATATCAAAGGGCAAGTATCTTGAGCACTTACAGATGCAGCATTGTCAGCCGTAACAAATGAAGAAATAGCATAAATATGACTCTCTTGTGAATACACAGATACTTCGCAAGTTATAACCGGACAGTCTGAGATACTGGTTACGTTGAAAGATTCGGCTTTTGTTATTTTCGGAGTGAAGGTTCTACCACAAGAGCCATCCCTCGAGAGCACTGAAATACCCCCAAAACTACTAGCCTTCTTCATCACAGGACGAGTTGAACGAGCAGTTAAGGGTTTCTCAGGTTCTACTTTAGTGGTAGACGTAAATGATCTAGACACCTTGCCTTGAGTTGGAACATCACTTTCAAAACTGCTGCTTATTCTAGACCCTAACGGGCGTCCTGAACTTTCAGAATCTGTACTACTCCATGGCCTTAACTCACTAGGCCATCTCACATCTTCGGGATATGCCCCTTCTTGACTACGATTGAGAGGTGATCCTCCTATACCTTCATCTTGATTAAAAATTCTAGCTCTAGCTTTTTCATACTCTTCTTCTCTCTCTTCAAATGACTTGCTACGCCTGCTATCAGTAGATGACTGTCGTTCTGGGCTTCGTTCCTTTTCTTCTTCAAATGATATGCTATCACGCTTCAGAATAGACTTCTTTGGTTCTTCGGGCAAGAGTTCATCTTTAATAAAATCCTGGAAGCGAGTGTCAGGAATTCTAGAGGTTTTCGTTTTATTTACAATGACAGAAGTCCCATTTCCGTCTACATAATGATCTAATCCAAAAAAAGCAGCAACTCTATGTACAAGCATTCTGTTGTAAGAACTCATTTGTGGAAACTTAATTGAATGTTTCTTGTTATCCTTTATCAAATTTATCAGTTCCTGCTCGATTTTTAAAACCATCAAACGATCTTTTTGATTTTTATGGAGAGTGTCAATTATAAATTGCTGTAAATCGATACCAGAACTATCTGTGTAGTTCTCAGTACTAGAGTCTCTTGATATACCGGAAGTGGATGAACTTTCTGTACTTCCTTGGGAGCTGCTCTGATTTCCTAATCTACTCTTAGATAAAGTACCTTTAGACTGAGTCACAAATGAGGGAGCATTAGTAACACTAAGCATGTTCGTGTTCGCAATAACAGACTCCAAATCAGGAGGAGGAGACGCATCTTCATGAACAGCATGACTTCTAACTAAAACTTTCATGCGGCAAGCGGCTTTCTTTCTTTCTAGTTTTCCATCAGGTCCTTTCTCAGATGCTACATCACTTACATCAGGTAGATCTTCTTCACACACTTCATAAGTCGAACTTTCTTCACTATCCGCATGCTGAAACTCACAAATAAAGTCTTCTCCTCTGTCCTCAATTTGAATCGTAACGGGTGACAGAAACGAGCCTCCTTCATCCTCCACTTCAAACTCCTCTTGTTTCTCCAAGCGAGAGGGTCTACTGCCACGACGGCCTTCCATTTTAGTGTTCTCCCCAGATTTATTGACGCAGAGTGGAGAAATATATTAGCCGGGTGCAATGGCTGAAACAAAAAAATTGCCGAAATTATGTATTTAAAAGAGACAAAGATTTTACAAGGAATTTAAAGAGAAGAAAGGATATTAAACCATAAAGCTGTATGGTTCCATTCATGCAAAAGTATAGATCAGTATCTGATAAAGCAAGTGAAAAATAATAATGAAAGAACGTGTTGACTAGAAAGCAAGAAATAATTATTAATCAAAAATTAGAAATTGCAGGCCAAAAAAGAGCAAAAGTAGAATCTACACTTTTAAACGTGGCCAGGAGAGCACCCGGCAAAACGATCTGGAGAGAACACCCATTTACAAAAATTTTTAATTTGGAACTAGTTCCAAGGGGAAAAAAAAGCAAAAATATTTCAAAATTCTTCATACAAAAATTTTATTGATAAAACTTCTAATCAGTTCTTGGAATTATGCACCTAGGCTAATTAGATCATATATTAATGCTTTACTTTCAAAAAATTATCAGAATTTTCAAAAAATTACTGAAGAAAAAATAAACTTAACAAAATTTTTTTAACATAAGTGAACAAATTAAAACACAGCAACTTGTAATTCTAAAATACAATGTTTTTCCAAAAATAAATAAATACATAATATTAATATAGTTTAATAGTTATACATAGGTCAAAAATTTCTCCATTTTTTAACAAAATATCTATATAGTACAAAAAGTAACTAATTGAAAAAAATTTTATTGAAAAGTTTGTCACAAAAATTTTAGTATTCCTGTTTTTGTTTCAGTGATAAATTAGGGGTCCAAAAGTTTTGTTCAATATTGTATAAAATTATATATGCCTTAACCCACTGACGGTTCTGCACGTAAAATGTTGCATTTTAACCTGCAGTTTTCTCTGCATAGCAAAACCGGTTTATCCACGCTAATGGATATGGGAATAGTGTATAGAAGAGAAACATTCTCCTAATTTTGCCCATTTCCTTAACCGCCAGTGGGTTAAACTTCACGAAATTTATTAATTTCTAATTTTTTTTCCTACAATTTTAAACAGTTTACAAGACAGCTAAGATGAATTGTAACAGATTTTGAAAAAACTTGTACAAAAATATCTTTTTTCAGAAAATATCACATTACTGTTACCTTTAAATGCTAAGAAACAAACAGTATAATGGCTAATAGCTTTAAGTTAATACCAATTTTTAAGAAAAATTTTAGCATATCAAGATTCTGTAAGAAATATCTTCAAAAGTAAAGATAAAAAAGATTACAAAATTTTCACGAAATTATTTTCCTTTATTATAAAAAACTATTAAGATTGTACTTGTTTACAACTCTTTATGACAATTGTTTAACATGATACGTACTATTAAAATTTAATATATATACACATGTATATTCAATCAAATTAATATTATGATATTAATCTTGACCACACTTTTTTACAATTAAAAAATTACAAATCAAAGTGCCTAATTTTTAAACGTATAAATACGAATAAGAATAGGTTGGGGTCTGTGGTCACTAAATTTACATATGTTTATACGACTTAAGAAATATGTACCTGTAACGAATTATTTTTCTCCAAAAGGCACATACCTTTATTAAAAATTTACAGATTATGTTGTTTTTTTACATATTCTTTTTTAGGCAGGTGTCGATTTTATAAGGATGATTGCAATTGTTTTAAAGTACCGATTTTACAGCAGAATTTTTTCTGAAGGTTACCGTTTTTGTCTGGTCTTTTTTGCATAAGTACCAATAAACTGCACTAAAATACAGTAATACACCTGTATTAGTTGAAGCAGTAGAGCTACAAACTTATTGCATTATACACTTCAGCTTTTTTTCCCATTTATTTCAGGGATCTTAAGAAAATGAGCAACTATTTTTGCTGCAAATCCCTTAAATGATTTTTTCTCTAAGAGAAAAACTTATAAAAATTTTTCCAGCATTTTAAAAGTACAACTATTAAGTTTTTTTAAAAATGCTAGGAAACTAATTTTTTATATTCCTATCAATAGAGGTTAGATGAAAACTTTTACATTTTTTCCTTCATCAAAATTGAGTCCTTGTTAAATTCTTTTACAGTAAAGTGCTCTACTTTGAGGGCAGGTCGTCCTCACAATTTTGTTCTCTCAGGGTATGTAGCCTTATTTCTCAACAAAAAATAAGCACCCTTTAAGTACTTTTTAAGCACTATATACATTTACAAAATGCGAAATAATTTTCAAAGACTTTACATGATCATGATAGAATAACTAGTTTCTGACAAAAAAACTCTTTTCTTGATTATATTAGCCATTATAAAATTATCAAGAGATTTTTCAGTTCAATATCAGAGGGTGGAAAATGAAGACTGAAATTGAGAATATCTTGCAAAATGCAACANTTTACAAAATGCAAAATAATTTTCAAAGACTTTACATGATCATGATAGAATAACTAGTTTCTGGCAAAGAACTCCTTTCTTGATTATATTAGCCATTATAAAATGATCAAGAGATTTTTCAGTTCAATATCAGAGGGTGGAAAATGAAGCCTGAAATTGAGAATATCTTGCAAAATGCAACAGAGATGCACATGGGAGTGCAATAATCTCAGTGAACCCAGCTCATAATACGTGGCGAAAATTAACATGGTATAGAAAGAAAAAAAATCTCATTTCTGAAAAAGGAAAATTAAGCACTTTTTAAAAACAACCAATGAAAAAAGCACTTTCAAGGGATTTTAAAATACGAAAATAAGCACCTTTAAGCACTTTTTAAAAACGCTACGCACCATGTCTCTGTAGAGGATCAATTTGGATCTTCCTTAGGGACATTTTACAGACTGTCACCCATAGAGCAGCTCTACTATGACATAAATAAAATACTACTACTATTCACCAAATGCTATGTAAATTAGTTCTTTCCGGGATACCTAATTTAACATATTTCTGAGAACAATTAAGAGCGTTTAAAACTAATATTATTTTGAAGGGGAGGAAGATTCTCCTCTCTGACATCACTGGTATGCGGGCAAAGAGTCAGGTTCTTCATTCACCCTCAATTGAGACAGAGCTTCTAAAACTATGATTTCCAGATGAACAAGCGGTCACACAAAAAGTCTCATTTTTCGAAGGCAGGAGAATCTTCAAAGTCTGCTTCAAATGCCCTGGACTGTTTGGGATTTTCCAGAGAAAACATATATTCACCCTCCCCCCTTCAGGTACTAGATTTCCTTAGGATCAGCGGTCTGATGGATCTTGTGTGACTTCGTCAGACACTTGGAAGATAAGCCACAACAAAACTAATAATGTGATACTAAGCAACTACATGCTATTTTTCAGTAGCTGGCTTTTTGACAGTTATCAATGAAAATTGTAGAGTATTGCAGATTGTATTTGCAGAAATATGATTAATCAACTTTTATTATTTACATGGATTTACAGCTTATAGTTGAAAAAAATCCTGTTTTTTACTCACTTAAGAAATTTTGACATGTAACAAAAAATTTATTTTTAAATCTGACTTAGTTAATCTACAGTCAGGGTCATTACAAATAAATGCTTTCCATTAAAAAAAATCATCAGTTTAAAAGAACAAAAATACAGTTTTTCACAAAAAATTGTGTTTGAATAACACGTACAAACACCTAAGAATAAAAATTAAATTTTTTCAAAATAAAAAAACTTTTATTTAGCTCACTCATTCATAATGTTCTCTGAATATTGCATGTTAAGTTACTAACAAAAAACACTAATTAAATTAACATAGCAATAAATCAAACATTTAACAAAAAATTGACTTATCTACCTTGGTTTATCTCCATATTGAGCTTTGAACTCCTCCAAAGTTTGATCCAACTCCTCTTGTGTAACTAAATAGCCTCTATCATGACACAACTAGAAGGAAAGAGAAATAAAAGAAACATCAGTACAGTGATGCCACTAATAAAATCACTAAAATAAACAGCTGCTTTTAAAACAAATCTGCAAGAATGGAATCATTACGATATCAAAACACACTAAAACCAATCCTTTAATTACAAAAAGTTATAGAATAGTAATTATTAAATGTCAATGATATTTTATTGAATATTGAATGTCAATGATCATTTAATAAAATAAATCCATCTTCATTAGATGCCAGAAAAGCAAGGTTTGCAAAAGTGGATTGGCCTGGAAAAAAAACACCCTCAGAGCTTTTTCATGTGGGTTCAACCTTGGTTTAGGGATAGTTCTTATCTAATAAATAATTTTTTTTAAGTTCAATCACTTTCCTTTGAAAATTAAATTTTTTTTAAATGAAAAAATTGTGAAATTTAAATATTATGCACTCTAAAGCCACAGAATTCTTTGTGAAATAAAATGTATAGTTTTTTTTTCCTTTTCTTAACCACACTCTTTTAAGTTTCAGAATGAACCCTGCTATTAACCCACACCACTTTATTTATAAGAGTTAACCATTGCTCTAGGTATATGGGAAGAGAAGTTGTTTTATTAGATAGAAATATTATACACTCTAAAGTCACAGAATTCTTTGTGAAATAAAAGGTATAGTTTTTTTTCTCTTTTTTTAACCACACTCTTAAGGTTTAGAATGAACCCTGCTATTAACCCACACCATTTTATTTATAATAGCTAACAAGTGCTCTAGGCATATGGGAAGAGAAGTTGTTTTATTAGATAGAGTACAAGAAGAAAATTAAAACATTATACTTTTCATTGCTGAAAAGATAACCGTGACATAAAATTCTAAACTATGCAAGGTGCATAGCCAAATCTTTCAACAAAAAATAAGCATCTTTTGAGTTCTTTTTAAGCACTATATACCTACATTAACAAAATACAAAATAATTTTCTAAGACTTTACACGATCATGATAAAATAACTAGTTTCTGACAAAGAACTCTTTTTTAAAAAAAATTATATTAGCCACCATAAAAAGAACGAGAGATTTTTTGGTTCGATTTCAAAGGGTGGAAAGTGAAGCCTGAAATTGAGAATATCTTGCAAAATGTAGCAGAGTTGCACATGAGAGAATAAAAATCTCACCGAACCCAGCTCAGTATACGCACATGCGGACCCCCAAGTATTTCCTCAAACAACTATTTAAAAAATATATAATTTCATGTAAAATGATTGGTGCTTTCATGCGCCATGGACCGATGGTACGCCGAAATGCAGTGCGCTTGAATGAATTGCGAAAACTTTGAATAAAACAATGTAAAAACCATGCTTTTGCATTATACGCGGTGAAAATCTCATTTTTTAAAAGGGAAAATGAAGCACTTTTTAAAAACATCCAATAAAAAAAGCACCGTTTAAAAAATGAAAAGCGAAAATAAGCACTTTTTAAATATGCAATGCACCAGGCTATATTATAGTAATAAGACTATAATGCAATTTTCAATTGATGAAATTAAGCTAATAAAATTTAGAGAGAATAACGACTGCATTAGAAAATGTAACGTTGATCGATTATGTTAAGGTAGTCCAGTCTTATGTTAAGGTAGAACAAGACATCACTTTCTGCACCTTTTCTGGTCAAGTGCTGCTTTCTAGGCACACTTCAACCTCAGCCACCTGAAAGCATTTCTTTCTTTAAGGATTTTTTGGCACCCTCTGTTCCTCTTACCATTCGGGACCCAGGACAGCACCACTCATGTTAGGTCTGACGGATTGTAACAAGTCAAAAAAATGTGAAATTCGAGATAGGACAGTTTCACCATACATAGTTGAAATAACAGTTTGAATTGTGGTTAAAACTGTTATATTTTATCACATGCCAAAAACCAGCCAATCTCAAGAAGAGATTAACAATTAACACCCTTGCTAGTTTATGCTTTTGAAAGGTTTGAAAATCATAGAATGTATACCTGCATGATAGTTCTTCTAATTCTCCATAATTTATAGCATTCTGCTTCATCATCCATGTTAAAACTAAAAAAGGTAGAAAAAAATTGGATCAAAATATTTTATTAAATTTTTTTATAATAAAACATTAGAAATCTTAAAAATAATTATTGTCTTCTCTTGCCAGTATTTGAATTGTAAAAACACTGTAACAAGTAAGAGAATAAACATCGTGACTCATTTGTTCTACATTAAAATATATTCTTTGAACAAAAGCTTCAACAGCCCAGATTTATTAATATTTTGAATACGAAGTTAAATACACACTTATTTTTTATGCAACCTATATTTTGTCAAAGGTTTAAGGGACCAGATTTTAACTGGGACAAATTTTTTACTTATTCATCCACAAGCCTCAATTTCAATATTGAATTTTAAAAATATGTGAATACGAATCACGATATTGGATTTTAAACTCGCAGAAATATGAATCACTTTATTGGGTTTTAAAAAATGCTTTAATACAAATCGCGATATTGAATTTTTAAATTGTGTGAATGGGAATTGCAAGTATCAATTTTAAATTGCATAAAAACGAATCGCAACAAGTAACTTTCAAATAAGTTAATTACGAAATTCAATGATTTACATAAAATCGTCTGAATAAGAATCGCAATTTTAGCAGATTCTGGCAGTTCCTTATATTTAAAATTCTGAAAATCAGCCAAACAAAAGAAATCAAATATCAGCAGCTGAAACGAAACTGCTTAGAACTCTTTTTTTTCCAATCTATAGCAGAAGTCGCGGTTGTCCCGGAAACGGCATACCTGCCGAAATTCCACCCTTTTCTTCTGAAGATCATTTTCTCAGGAGGCTACTGCAGAGGGGNGGGGGGGGGAGTTTGTTTCGAGTCCGACTATCGTTTGGGCAGCTTGGGTTTCTCTTATTGGACTCCACAAAAATTTAAGTTTTTGGAGCATGGTCGAAAATTTAAAAAATTGGGAGGAAAAAAGCAGATTTCCGCTTTTTTCTTTCATCCCTGAAGATTTCACTAGTCTGTACAAATTTTTACTTATTCATTCACAAGCCTCAATTAGAATTTAAAAAATACAAAAATTATTAATGAATTAAAATTTTATCATTACATATTATTAAAATTAAAACAAAGTCACTAAAATAAAATAAGATGAAAAATTACAATGAATAAGTAAGATTCACAATTACGATGAAATAGGCTAGTTTAAGACAAGTGACAGTAACACAGTTTACCATCTCTTTATATTTGATTGATAACAATTTATTGTTAGTTCTGGAGATCACAAAATTTCATCATGATGGGCTCGGTCTGATTTAGTTGTCTAAAATCATTGCTAAGTCTAATTTAAAGTCAATAATCCAATTATAACCTAAATTTTAATACAATTCGCTCAAATTGTGTAGAGTTTGTCTGTTATACATTTCCAATTAATCTGTGAAGGCAGGGGGATGCGCCCACTTAAAGCTTGGGGGTGATTTTTACACTAGATAATACGAATAGTTTGGGGGGGGATTTAGACGAGAGAATTTTTCTTAAGTACATAAATAAAAGAAGCATTGTCATATTATGAGTAGAATGCAAGCAAAGAAGCACTATTTCGAACAAGCTAACATGGAAGGGGGAAGTTAGCAAATTTTTTTTGGGGGAGGGGATGAATGCACCCAAGAGCTTGGGGGGGATGGGGACCACTGTGTGAAGGTAAGAATTTTCTTTTATTTAAACTGCAGCAGCAATTAAATTTCATTAAAAAAAAACAATTAAAATTTCTGAACTCATTTCTTACTGATGAATTTTTTAAACAAAAATAAAATTTTATAAAACTAGATACCTCAAGTTATTATTAAATAATAATTTATAACAAATAATATGCAGTTAATGCATTAGTTACAAATTATATTTAATGAGATTAATAAATTCAATGGGAAATTAATCATGTCAATATAACGTATGTAAACAGATAGACCAAGAAATTATTTGCTTATATAATCATAATTTTCTTACCATAATACCTAAACTAGTAAGAAAAGATAGTACCAATTTAATTGGAAAAATAACTTTATAAAATTTATAATAAATTTATCCCAATATTTCAGTCATGTACATATCTCAGATGCATAATTTAAATTGACATTTTTCAAACTATAATTTAGCTGGTTAATCTATCATTTAAAAAAAATAATTATTTTAGTACTAGATGCATTAAAATACTTAATTTTAAAAATGAATAGCCAGTGCATAATCAAGATTTTTGTTCATTGAGTTAATCAATACAGAGTTTATATTTAAAAAAATAAAAGGGGTAGTTCCATATTGTGATCCGTAGGGCCAACTAAATTTTAAACTTGCAATTTTTTTAAAAGAACAATTTAAAGGTTTTCTGAAGGGTGACTAAGAGTTCTACCCTTACAGTTGATCTGTGAATTTTTTTAAGTTTCTCGCCAGCCTTTGCTGTAAGTTGTCCGAACCTGACGATTCAGATGCAGATCACAATACAAAAACACTATACTGAATTAAGTATTATAATAGCTAGAATTAGATGCTCTATATAATTTAAGCACATTCATTTCAATGACATTAAAATCGAAATAAAAAAGATCCTAGTTTTTTGGTAAGTAAAATAATCTTCTCTATTTTATAATAAATTTATCACAATTTTAAGTCATGTATACATAGCAAATATATAATTTATAAAAAAATAATGAAGTTTCACCAACGAATCGTTTAATTTGTGAATCTTTCAAACAAATATAATATATTTGTGAAACTGGATGCATTCAATTGCTATAATAATTTTAAAAATAAACAGCTAGTACATAATGCATAATAAAGTTTTAGTCATGGAATTATTATTTAAATCAATATGAAGTTTATTTTGTGAAATAAGCTAACAGATATTAAAAATTAAGTGCTGTTATGCTGACTTAGAATTAAGTGCTAATACAATTGCACCCAATTCATTTAAATATTATAATAGCTTAAATAAAAAATGTGCATTACAATTTACGGTATTGTATTTACATTTTTTTTTCTTTTTTTAAATTTGTGATAAATTTATCACTATCTATAAGCAGCATTACATAGCAGATGTAATGTCATTAAACAGTTGTGGTTGACCCCCGCCCCCAATGTTGACATTTAGCATTTACATTGAATGTCCGAAACTTTGACTCATTACTAGTTTTCAGAACAAAATTTTTTGTGGTTATTAAACTTATCATATTACTTAATAATAAGCTTCTTTTCTTCTAATAATAATTTATCGATAGTATAATATAAAGTAAGGTAATTGGATAATATGTGAAATCGAACTTTTTTGGATGAATCAAATGCAAACACAAATTATAGTTAACAAATAAAGCAATGCATTTAGGTTTTAATAGTGTGATTTTAGACAAATAATAATAAAATAAATTAGGGACGTAAAAATATTTTATCAGGTTTTAATGAAACATGCAGAAGAGTTTTTGAAACTTGCAAGATGCTTCTAACTAATAATACAAAATCTTAAAGTAGCATTGCAAATGTAAAAAAAAGTACATACTTTATGAAAGTGTGAAAAGAATTAGTAATAAAATTTTATTTTAATTCACTGTAGAACAACAGCTCGATAGTTAAATATTTGCAGAGTTACAACTACAGTTAACTAAAAAATATAAATTGGTAGTAATGTATACGGTCCGAAAATTTAAGAAACATATGTATTAAAACTTTGATATTAAGTATTTTTTTTACATTCATCTATATTTTAAATTTTTCCATAGCATTTCTCAAATTTCTTACAGAAGTAAAACCTAACCTCACATTTATTCGTTTTACGAACTAAGTTTGAATAGACTGAATAAACTTGACATTTACTGTCTATTCTTCAAAATGTCTTTTTATAAACTTCAAAAACGGTTTAAACTCGCATATTTTTACAATTTCTCCTTTGCTTCCGATATATAATGCCATCTGGTGTGATCTAAATTGTAATTTAATATTTATTTTGTTTGTTTTTTTTGGCCATTGACATCCACCCAGTTTATCTTCTTTTTCTGTTCAAAATAATAAAACAAAACCAAAATAATTATGTCCTTGGCAGAAAAGTAAGTATTCCGGGATGCAAGTGTTTTCCGCATGATAAACTTATAAGCGGAAGTCTTCTCTGTAGATAAATAAGATATGAATTAAAAGAATGGCAAACTTCATGGAGTTTTTTCACAAGCGAAAGGTATTGTATTTCAAGCTCCCTTCATTCATAATTTTTACCGGCGTTAATGATCTTTTATTTTACTTGCGCATTCAAAGATTAAATTATAATTAGATCGCGTAAATGTATAATAAACCTATTTTATTATTTTTTTGATGTGTTAAACTCGAAAGTAAGTTATATTTATATATTAATAATCAATAAGACTGATGTTTAGAAAAATTGTTTGTACATTGCTCCATTTTTTTTTTTATTAATCGTTTTCACAATCATGAGTTTTAATAAAAATGATGGGGATATTTTCACCAAATGCGAATTCGAATATTTTCGACGCGAATATTTTCACCAGCATGCAAATTCTTTTAAAGAAAAAATATGTGTTGGTTCTCCTATCCAGCAGCAGAGTTCAATCTCCCATTTGACATTTTCTTAAATTAACAAAAAAATTAATTCCTTCCTTTTTTTTTTAGTTCAGGTAACAAATTTTAGGGGAAATTTCTGTATCATGATCTGTTGCACCAACTATACAATCGCCAAGGTACCAAATAGATTTGAAATTAGTAAATTTAAAAAAAAACAAGTAGATATTTGCCCAGGGGGGGGACTACAAGTTATACCTTTTGAATTGGTCCCATTCTGTGATGTTTTTTCTCGCAGACCACTGCACGGAAGTTGCCATGTCTGTCACAGATCAAAGAGAAAAATCTCCAGAGTGGAGAGCAAGTCATTAAAAGGTGCTGGATAGAGGGGACAGATATTTTTGTAACGCAATCTGGGCCGCTAGTTCGAAGTTAATAAGACTTGGCAGTTATTCTGCCATAGACCACAATACAAAAATCTCCCCTAAATTTTATACTTTTTTTTTAAAAAGAAAAAAACAGGTAGAGGTTTGCCCAGAAACTGGAAAATTATTAAAACTGTTTATTGAAATTACAATTCTTTAATAAAATTGCCTGAATGTGCAATTTTAGTAACTTATGTATTAAATTTTTAAAAATTATGTAATTTTCCAGTTAAACTATTTGAATTGCTGGAATTCGATAAAAAAATTGTTTTGCATAATAGTATTTCTAAATTGTCAATGATTATTAAATTTTTTTTATCACAATTGTAAAACTTTTTCTTCCAGACTTTTCGTCCCAAAAAGAAGTTTGAGCCTGGGACACTTCGGTATTCTCTTCACAAACAGGCTCAAGCATCGCTAAATTCTGGATTAAACCTACGAGAAGCCGTAAAAGTGCCTCCTGGTGAATCTATAAATGATTGGCTAGCTGTTCATGGTAAAAGTTTTAACCAGTTATTACTTTTATGTTAATAATGCCACTTTTATGATTGGATTGGTTATTGTTTCTATGCGTTTTATTTGACCAAATATTAAAATGTTTCATTCATTGCGTATGGCATAATGTTACATCAAACCAAATTAACTTCGATTTGCTGTAAAAAAAAACGACATTTATTTTGCATTAAAACTAGAAGGTGTATTAAAATAAGGAAATTGTCTCCAATTAACTTAGACCTAAACAATATTATTTTCTTGTTGAGCAGTATTTCCCTATTGAATGACAGGTAAAGAATATTTTTTATTTTGCTGAAAAGCAATGAGCTCCTTTTTTTAATAAATTGGATTAAAATTCTTCTCAATGCCTGTCAGAGTATAAGGTTTCTATCATGTCTCAGTCCCGCAGTGGACTGATTGTTAAGACACGGTTCCCAGCTGATCACCGAAGTCAAGCATCACTGACTACGGTCAGTGTGCGGGTGGGTGACCACTTGGATCAGTCTGCGTAGGGACCGAGGGTGTGCGGTATTGGTCCTCGTTAAACTGTGCTACCGTAAAGTGCTCGACTTCGCGCGCAGGTCGTCGGGCTACCGAAGCGGGGGTGCCATCCCCTCCGCAGAGGATCAAAATTGTGATGGCATGTCTTCGGATCATCCTCCGGGATGTTTCCGAGACCGTCGCCAATAGCCCATTGTGCAGCTCTAGTGCGACGTAAATTAACAACAACAACTATCATGTCTCATGGTCTTTGGCAGCAGCTCTGACTTTCTCTCATCTTTTCAGTTAGAGGTACTGGAATGGGATGTCGCTGTGACCCCCTCCCCCCCAATTTTTTCTTCACAATTTTTTTTATTTATTATTATTTAGAAAACAAAATGAAAGGATTGAGTATTACACCTTTATTAGACTTTTTTTGATGAATTAAAGTTTGCATAAGTATCATATAATGTATCTACTTCTCAATTCTTTTATCTTCTTTAAATCTGAAAATCTTCAATTCCTTCTTTGCCTTCCTTCCTTCATCTCTCTTGTGACGTGTCATTTGTGACATCAGACTACCTTTTTCTCTTCCTCCTTTCGAGGCTGTTATTCATTTTAAAGGAATTCCTTTTAAATTTAAATCTTAATGATTTTTAAACTTATATATTTTATTTAAAAAAATTTTTTTTTCAGGTTGTGTTTGAATAATACTATTGAAAATATTCAACAGTATTACCACTGTGTAAAAAAATTTGAGTCTATGACCTTCGCCCCCCCCCAGGAAAAATTTCTGGATCCGTCCCTGACCACTCGCCTCATTTCTGTTTGTGTCTTCATTATCTGTTTTGTTAAAGCCACTCCAGCCCCTCTAGAACCTTAATAAGTAAAAATCAATAGAAAGTATAAGAATGTATTGCAACTGTCTGAGGACTTAAAAGGAAACAATAAGCAAAACAACTCCCCTGTTTAGGGGATTAATGGAAATTTTGTTTGCATTGTGTTGCTTGCAATCATTTCATCCCCTCATTTAAAATTAATGTAGGGTTATTTGCAAATTAATGAATAGTTAAACAATTTTTTTTAAACTTCAGTTTTCTGGAGAAAATAATATTTATTGTTTTTTTTAACCTATATCATGTTTGTATAATGCTTGTAAAAAAATTCAAGTTATTGAAGGAAGGGTGAAAAAATAGATATCAAATCAAGGTTTTTTAAACATTGAGTGCAATTTTCTATGACCCCCCCCCGGGGGGGGGTCATAGAAAATTTGAAGGGTTTTTTTTTTTTTTGAGTTATAAATTTTTTTTTTAAAATTGAGGTGTCCGTGTTAGAGAGGTTTAACTGTTTAATACAAAGTATTTGTAGATATAGATGATTTTATTCTACAAATTATTTTTTTTATTTCCTTTCTGTGGTTAGTTGTAATTTAATTATATAGATATAATCTGTAACTTTGGCATGGCTCTTGAAAACAGTGGCGTCCTCCTTTCTACTCATAGAAATGAAAGTCATAGGAAAGTCTTTAAATTGATTTCGATAAATTAAAGTTGAAGATCTGACACATTTCTGAGTGATCCATTTTCATGTGGATCCTAAAAAAGAAAATATTAAAAGAACCTCACAAACTCTAGTTAGTGGGGTTAGGTTTAAGGATACCAGCTTTTAAAATATTTTAATCAAATCATTGATTATATACTAGTTTTTACAATCAAAGGAAATCGCTTAAAGAGTTCTAAAAAAATATCAAATTTTTAAACGTATAAATTTTTAAAATTTAATTGTTCAAAAACTATTTGATAACTTTCATTCAAATTTTGAATTGCATTCTTTAAATATCATGTATGAAATTGTATGCTTTACAATTCAAAATGTTTTTCAACTACAGTACAGAACCCATTATCCGGAAATCAGAAAACCAAAAAACCGGAGTGAAATTTGATAAATTTCCCCGCCATTTTTTTAAAGAATATTTTTTTTCCTCAAGATTTTAGGATTTTTTTTCCTTTTTTGAAAGATGTTTACCTTACCATCATTTTGGAAATAATCATTAATGTATTACTTTATAATTTTTTCTTCTTTTTAAGATTATTTCCCCAAATTTTTTTTTTTAGTTGGGTTTAACAATTAAAAAAAACTGCTTTTGCAGCAATTCAGAAAACCGGAAAAATCAGTTATTCGGAATAGCGATGGTCCCGATCGTTTCGGATAATCGGTTCCCTACTGTATTATTAAATAAAATAATAATTAATTATTAAAAATTATTTTTTACATTAAATTATCTTTGAATTATCTTTATCATTATCTTTAACAAATACTATAATTATGAGCTAAAATTTTCGATTAGCTTAAAAAGTTTTCAAGTTATAGCAAAATATGTAAAAAGCGAAATTAACATTAGGAGGTCCAAACTTTCAACTGTTCTCCTGGCCAAATTATTGGGACAATATCCCCAGATTGCGGCTACACTAAAGGTCCAAAGGTCAGAAATCTGAATACATAAAAAAAGGAATATTTATTCATAGAAAGTATGTTTTTGTGTCTGATTTTGTAGCTTAAAATATCATTTGCTTCAGTTAATTACCATATTTGAGATGAGACTGTTGAACCATTAAGATCTTAGTGCATAAAAATCCAATCATTCGATCAAAAGTTATTCAAGGTGTTCCTTTTTTCCCCCCTGCTCACTGTACATTTAATGTGAATATTTTCTTTTTTTAGAAAGCACTTATTCTAAATAATATTACTTTAGCTTTTCTTGATGCAGGAATTCTGTTCTGAGAATTATTATGAGATTTAAGTTGCAAAGTAAGACTAATAAATGACAGAATTATTTTAAAAATAAAGGTAAATTACTGTAAACATAATATTACTAAAAAAATAAAGGCAAATTACTATAAGGGTTCATTAAACCTCTGCATGAAATGATGTTAGGTTTGAAATAGGAAGGAAATCTTTCGTAAACATCCTGATAAATCTCGGAAAGTTATGACTAAGTGTAATCGAAATGTGTACTGAGGAAAGAGTTCTTTTCGTCAAGGGAAATGCGCTTAAAATTTTGCATTTAAATAAAAATTGACAATCTAGATAGGCTATCAGCTACTTTAAATCAAATATGTGACTTAGATGCCTTAAATCATACATATCATATATGAAGCAGCTTAATTAAACTGTTTTATTTGCATAGCAAACGAATCTTTTATTTTCCTTGAATTTTTTATTTTTCTAAAATATCTAAATTCTCAAACGTGATAAAGAATTCTTTCTATCAAAATCAAATCAAAAATTTTTCAAAAATATGATTTTATTTGATTTTAATATCAAACAATTTATTTATAGTTGACATAGCACAATAGGTTGAATTATGGATGTCACTAAATTAACTTATTTAGGATAAGTTTGGCAAATAGAATTAGCATTGAAATTTATTTACAAACCTTATTATTTAGCTTTTTTTAGGCTGCTTCAGAAATGTTTAAGAAAATATTTCTGGAAAAAAATGTTTTAAAAAACATCTTAAGGATGCTTCCAAGAACATTTTCTTGAGAATGTTCAGAAACCTTTTTTTTCCTTTTTCATATTAATTTTTAAAATTAAGTTTTTATGAATTAGAGATAATAACTGATCTTAAAACTTGAAGGGAAATGTTGCTTTCATTGATAATGATTTGATGGAAAAACAAAACTATTAAAATCTACAACTTAATAGTTTTTTTAAAAGAGAAATAATTTTTATAAAATTGAAAGCATATTAATTTTCATTATTAAAAATTAAGGTAGTAATCGTTAGTGTTATAGTGAAACACTGATGACTGAATGCTAGGCCTTCTTGCAGGAGTAATAAATTTGTTTTTTCAAAAAGCCTGATTAGTTGAAAAAGTGATGTACTTGATAAAAGGACTTTACATTGGCTCACAACAAATTCAAGTGCTGCAAGAAAAGGATATATCAGTATAAAAAACAATATTAAAATTTATGAGAAATCTTTAATTCAAAGTTTTTCATCATTATTTTATTTGAGATGCATGATTTGTTGCAAAGAATAATGAACTCTGGAGTTTATCATTCCGTTGTCATTCAAGAGGCTGAATTGATTCATCATACTTTAATGCATCTTAGGAAAGAGGCTTAGGTTATTAGGTTAATTTATTTTTAACTCATTTCTAACTTAGTCATTACTGTTTAATTTTATTCTTTTACTTAGTGACTATCATTGAGTAACTCATTTTTAAGTACTCTTGTAGTGGCAAAAAATTTACTTTTCCTCATTGTTTTATTCGCAAAGCCAAATTTATTGAAAAGAAGTTTGAATTCATGAGGTAAATTTAAAGAATGTTATTGGCTTGATGGCGATTCAATCCAAGCACTTCAGCGCGTCAAAACATGCCATAAATCATAAATGGAACGCCCCTTGGACTGCCTAATTTTCCATCGTGAAAAATCGTAACAAATAAAATAATTATGTGCCAGCAAATTTATGAAAATTTCAAACTTTTTATATAACATTTTTTTCTAGATGACCAAAATTAAAATAATGAATTCTGAGTATCATATTACGCGACTTTTTTTCCTTTATGCAGATATTTGATAATTTCTAATTTTGTTTTTTTAATTAATCAGAATATATTTATTTTTTATGCTTATCTTCAAGGTAAAGATTTGTGTTATTTTAATAAGGGTTATTAGTTAAATAGGATCCGGAAATTTGGAAATACAAGATCCTGAGGATCTGTAGTTTCCAATGTTTATTGGAATCAACAGGTTTGTGTGATGTAGAAATTCTGAATTCTAAAAAACATAAGATATATTCATTGAAGACGCTGAATCATTTCATTAGGACATCATACTCTAATGTTTTACTGCACTATACAGCTAATGAAGCTAAAGTTATTTTAGTTTATAATATTGTAAGAATTTATTTAATTATACTAATAACTTTAAATGAAGAATTTCATTTTTTCAGTGGTTGACTTCTTCAATCGAATCAATCTTATCTATGGAACTGTGACTGAGTATTGTACGGAAGAAACATGTCCTACTATGTCTGGAGGGCCAAAGTATTTTAATGTTATCTTCATTTGCGTAATGTTATCTTCATANATCATAAGATTCTGCAAAATAATTTATTACCGAAAAATATTATATTTTTATTTGTATCTTCATAATTTTGTGCAAAATACACTTGTTGTTTTTAAAGGTAAATTATTTTTGTCAACAAATTTTTTTCTCCCAAGTTTTTCGTAGTCCCCTGAATTTCTTAGGCCCTAGGCACGTGCCTAGTGTGCCTATAGGTTAATCCGGCCCTGATCAGAATATATTTGTATTTTGTGTATATCTTCAAAGTAGAGATTTATACTATTTTATTAAGGGACCCACAATTAGTTAAATAGCATCTGGAAATTTTGAAATACGAGATCCTGAGGATCTGTAGTTTTCAAATGTCAATTGGAATCATCAGCTTGCAACAGGTTTGTATGATGTAGAAAATCAGAAATATAATAAACATGAGATATATCCATTGAAAACACTAGATCATTTAATTAGTACATCATACTCTAATGTTTTACTTCACCATACAGTTAATGAAGCTAAAGTTATTTTAGTTTATAATGTTTTAAGAATTTTATTTAATTCTACTAATAGATCCTGAGGATCTGTAGTTTCCAATGTCTATTGGAATTACCAGCTTGCAACAGGTTTGTGTGATGTAGAAAATCGGAATTATAATAAACATAAGATACATCCATTGAAGATGCTGAATCATTTAATTAGTGCAACATACTCTAATGTTTAACTACACTATACAGCTAATGAAGCTAAAGTTATTTTAGTTTATAATGTTGTAAGAATTTATTTAATTGTACTAATAACTTTAAATGAAGAATTTCATTTTTTCAGTGGTTGACTTCTTCAATCGAATCAATCTTATCTATGGAACTGTGACTGAGTATTGTACGGAAGAAACATGTCCTACTATGTCTGGAGGGCCAAAGTATTTTAATTTTAATGTTATCTTCATTTGCGTAATGTTATCTTCATATAGTGTACTTAAGTATAAAATATCTGTATTTATAAGCTCCTACCATTCATAGGTATGAATATAGGTGGGCTGATGGAAATGAATACAAAAAACCAACTGCACTTCCAGCTCCAAAATATGTCTCCTTACTTATGGATTGGATAGAAGCTCAAATAAATAATGAAGACATATTTCCTGTCAAAATGGGTAAGAAAATTCGTTCACGATATTTTTTCAAGTTATTTACTTCAATTTATAAACCACTTTGTAATTTGTTTAGCATGTGTGTGAGGAATAATTCAGTGGTTAAAAGTATTGTGTTACAGTTAGCGAAACTACTGTTGTTGCTACTTTTTGTTGTGTAGTGCACTACTTTTTAAAAGAAAGCTAAAAACATCACTCAGTGGCTCGTCAGCCCGAAGAGGGCCTAGGCCTACTGTGCCCATCTCAGTTTTCTTGGGCTCTGGGGTGCAGGAGGAGATGTTCCGTTTAGGTGGTCAGCTGAATGCGGAAGCCCCAGTGTTTAGTTCCCAAGCAAGCTTGGTACTCATTTATCGACCCACTGAAGGGATGAAAGGCTGAGTGAACCTTGCCCGGCCTTAGGATCGAACCCAGGACCTGTTGCAGGAGAGCTCTGCCATGCAGCCACTGGGCGTCACTTTATAAAAGTAGTGTATTAATTAAGGCAATGCAACAAAACAAAACAAAAAATTCACACTATTGATCTTCATTTCTAGATAGTTTAAATTTAGTTAGTAATTTACCCGTACAATTTTGAATTTAATAATTTTTGAATTAAATAATTTTTGAATTAAATAATTAATAAGTAAATAATTTGTATTGCATCATCTTTCACAGCAAAAATCTTTTCATAAAGAATTAAATTTTTTCAAAGAGCCTATTTTTTTCCTAACAGTTTCAATAAAATCAGTAAAATAAAATAAGTAAATAAAATTAGTAAAATAAAATAAATTCAATAAAATAAGAAGTTTATAAGAAACCTGTTAAATTGAAGTATTGTCCTGTTATCATAAGATGTTAATAGCATCCTTGCAATGTTTCATTTCCTGGAATGACGCAAAAAAGGCCTCAGTTTTCTTATAGCAGGATTGCCACAGGCAACTAAAATGCAACTATTTGTGGCATGAGGCGACTATGGCAACTTTTTTTGCCTGAAAAGGCTAAAAAAGCAACTATTTTCAGGAAAAGAAGACTATTTGGAGACTTTTCTGAACTCCTAGCGATGTTTTTTTTAAAACATAAATTGGGTGGAAAATCTGCACTCCACAAGATAGTTTCTGAACACACTAAACTTTTTTTTTCTTAAAAAATAAAAAATTTTGAATTGCAAATTTGAGTGTTCACTTTTTAATTCGTTCAATCTGCACAGACTCCATTGTAAGTCTATTTCATTTCTCGATCGCCTTTTCAACGATTATTGCTACGAAATTCCGCATGATTTTAAAAAAATTAATAAATAAGTTTTAATGCGATATTACAATGCGTGAATTTCGATTTTGAGTAATCACTTTTCATTTATATATATATATAAACATATACGTTTATATAAAAATTATCCTATTTGTCACCAACTTGACTGAATAGATCATGGTACAGTCAATTGGCTATAACTCGAAGTACGATAACTCGAATATTACTATAACTCGATTTTTTTTATGACGTCCCGACCCTTTTATCTTCAATTTCATGTTAATTATTCTCGATTACTCGACTTTTACTCCCTTTAACTCGATTTTTTTTTAATCTTTTAAAGCAAGAAAAAAAACCTAAGAGCTGATATCTTGCCCCTTCCTTTGCAAAACACACACAATGTCTTTCGCACTCTTCATGGAGAAGCTAAAGCTGTCCCGCTTGAAGTATGTAAACAGTGGTTAAATGAAACGTTACCAAATTTACTTCAAGGATACAGTGAAAATGATGTTTTCAATATTGATGAAATGGGTTTATTTTTTAAATGTCTTCCAAATAAGACTATGATGTTTAAGGATGAAAACTGCTCAGGGGGCAAAATGTGCAAGGGACGTTTTACTGTCCTAGTTGGAGGAAATGCGTCTGGGACAGAGAAATTGCCCTTACCGAATCGGAAAATACCGAAATCCCCGATGTTTCAAGAATGTAAAAACGTATCATTTGGATTACAGGTCTAACAAAAAGTTTTGGATGACATCAGTTTTATTTGAAGACTATGTAAGAAAATTGGATCGGAAATTCTTCGCTAAAAAAGAAAAGTGATACTCTTAATGGATTGAAGGTAGATTTTGATACTCAGTTGCCATGACATTGAATTATAATTAGTTGTACGCTTGCAGTGAGATAAAAGTTTGCCATTACATTTATTGAGAAAGGAAAATAATGAAAATATTTCCATTTGCTCTTTTTGAAATCAAAAGTGAATAAAAGTTAAGATTTTTTTTTTTTTAGCAAAGGATTAGGAATGATTAGATATGAATATAAATTTTATAAAATAGAGAAAATTCAAAAGCTAGGAAATATATAATGCCTATGATTACATGATAGGAAGCTATGCTTGCAGCAGCAGAGTTTACTCTGTATTAATAGGCTTTTTAACATAAAACAAACCACTTTTTAAAAAAAAATTAATTATTACACCCAGCATCTTGTCAAATAAAGTAAGTTTTTACAATGAAAAAATTTGGCTTCATATCTTTTCTGTTCTGTATTATAGAATAAATTTATAATAATGTTTTCTATTTATTATTGGAATGCATTGTCCTTCATTTTTTTTTCTTTTTTAGATGTTCCATTTCCAAAGCCCTTTCTTCCCACCTGTAAGAAAATTTTAACACGATTATTCCGAATTTTTGTCCATGTTTACATTCACCATTTTGAACGACTAGTTCTTATTGGAGCTGTAAGTGTCTCTTTAAAAGTATTATTAATGAATTATTTATATTTTATGTGTTTTCTTTCATTTTTTTATAGTAATAATTATTATTACTATGATATTTTTAGATTGAGTTTTACTTGTCATTCATTGTTCGTCTATTGAATCCGACATTTTGCGTAGTTTGGAATTCGACAGCATAATACAAGATTTCGTTGAATCCAAAAATCGCAAAAAAGTAATATATTAGATCATAAGATTCTGAAAAATAATTTATTACTGTAAAATATTATATTTTTATATTTGTATCTTCATAATTTTGTGCAAAATACACTTGTTGTTTTTAAAGCTAAATTATTTTTGTCAACAAATTTTTTTCTCCCAAGTTTTTCGTAGTCCCCTGAATTTCTTAGGCCCTAGGCACGTGCCTAGTGTGCCTATAGGTTAATCCGGCCCTGATCAGAATATATTTGTATTTTGTGTATATCTTCAAAGTAGAGATTTATACTATTTTATTAAGGGACCCACAATTAGTTAAATAGCATCTGGAAATTTTGAAATACGAGATCCTGAGGATCTGTAGTTTTCAAATGTCAATTGGAATCATCAGCTTGCAACAGGTTTGTATGATGTAGAAAATCAGAAATATAATAAACATGAGATATATCCATTGAAAACACTAGATCATTTAATTAGTACATCATACTCTAATGTTTTACTTCACCATACAGTTAATGAAGCTAAAGTTATTTTAGTTTATAATGTTTTAAGAATTTTATTTAATTCTACTAATAGATCCTGAGGATCTGTAGTTTCCAATGTCTATTGGAATTACCAGCTTGCAACAGGTTTGTGTGATGTAGAAAATCGGAATTATAATAAACATAAGATACATCCATTGAAGATGCTGAATCATTTAATTAGTGCAACATACTCTAATGTTTAACTACACTATACAGCTAATGAAGCTAAAGTTATTTTAGTTTATAATATTGTAAGAATTTATTTAATTATACTAATAACTTTAAATGAAGAATTTCATTTTTTCAGTGGTTGACTTCTTCAATCGAATCAATCTTATCTATGGAACTGTGACTGAGTATTGTACGGAAGAAACATGTCCTACTATGTCTGGAGGGCCAAAGTATTTTAATGTTATCTTCATTTGCGTAATGTTATCTTCATATAGTGTACTTTAGTGTAAAATATCTGTATTTATAAGCTCTTACCATTCATAGGTATGAATATAGGTGGGCTGATGGAAATGAATACAAAAAACCAACTGCACTTCCAGCTCCAAAGTATGTCTCCTTACTTATGGATTGGATAGAAGCTCAAATAAATAATGAAGACATATTTCCTGTTAAAATGGGTAAGAAAATTCTTTAACAATATTTTTTCAAGTTATTTACTTCAATTTATAAACCACTTTGTAATTTGTTTAGCATGTATGTGAAGAATAATTCAGTGGTCAAAAGTACCATGCTACATTTAGTGAAACTTCTGTTGTTGCTTCTTTTTTGTAGTGTAGTGCACTCCTTTTTAAAAGAAATCTAAAAACTACACTTAGTGGCTCGACAGCCAAAATGATTAAAATATGGAATTTTAAATATATATGTTAGATTGACTTGCCAACAAAATGTCTGTAGCAAGAAATATATTATCATCAAAATATATTTCATTTCTAGATGTGTTTCATTCCAACATGTATTTCATTTCTAGATATTGAATACTAGATATCTAGAATAAGGGCGAATTATTCTAATTTGCCTTTAAAGATATGAAATTAAATATTTAAACTTATAAAAGAAGATAAAAAAGCTTCTTTACAAATTTTTGAAAAAAATCTAAATTTTCATTAGAGTACTTAATATTATATTGTGACGTAGCTATTCGGATTGGTAAATGTGACTTCTATGGAACATATTTTCAAAGACGCCGGTGTTTAAATTTAGAAAAGTCTGATTATTTTCATAATCCTGTAAACTAAACTGAGGCCAGTGGCGTGACAGCCCATAGAGGACCAAAGTGTACTGTGCCCATCTCAGTTTTCTTGACCTTGGGCCCTGGAGTGCAGGAGCAGATGTTCCGGTTAGGTGGTCAGCCGAACGCGGGAGCCCCGTTGTTAAGTTCCCAGGCAAGCTTAGTGCTCATTTATCGACCCACTGAAGAAATGAAAGGCTGAGTGAGCCTTGTGGGGCCCTCGGATCGAACCCGGGACCTGTGGCACGAAAGCGCAACCATGCAGTCACCAGGCATCACTTTTTAAAAGAGGTAGTGTAGTAAGTAAGGCAATGCAAAAACAAGAACAAGAAATTCACAGTGATCTTCATTTCTAGATAGTTTACATTTAGATAGTAATTTACCCATACAATTTTGAATTAAATAATTAATAAGTAAATAATTCGTATTACTTCATGTTTCACCTCAAAAATCTTTTCATAAGGAATTAAATTTTTTCAAAAACCCTATTTTATCCTGACAGCTTCAATAAAATAAGTAAAATAAAATGAATTCAATAAAAAGTTATAAAAACCTGTTAAATAGAAGTAGTGTCCCGTTATCATAAAATGTTAATATCATCCTTACAATGTTTCATTTCCTGGAATGATGTAAAAAGGCCTCAGTTTTCTTATAGTGAGATATATAATGCCTATGATTCCATGATAGGAAGCAATGCTTTCAACAGCAGAGTTTACTCGGTATTAATAGGCTTTTGAACATAAAACAAACCACTTTTTTAAAAAATATCATTATTACTCTATTACACCCAGCATCTTGTCAAAATAAGTTTTTACAATGAAAAAATTTGGTTCTATATATCTTTGGAAAAAATGAATGAATTTATAAAATGTTTTCTATGTGTTATTGGAATACATTGTCCTTCATTTTTTTTTTTAGATGTTCCATTTCCAAAGCCCTTTCTTCCCACTTGTAAGAAAATTTTAACACGATTATTCCGAATTTTTGTCCATGTTTACATTCACCATTTTGAACGACTAGTTCTTATTGGAGCTGTAAGTACTTCTTTAAAAGTATTACTTATGAATTTGTTGTTTATATTTTATGTGTTTTCATTTATTTTTTTATAATCAGGGATCTGTCCAGGGCAGTTTTACTACCGTTTAGCGGTACCTTCACAAATTCAACTTCTGGAAAAACGGTAGTTTCACAAAATGCTCTTAAAAGAGCACGTTCTGAGATTCTCCTCCCTGCCTCTTGAAGTGTTTTTGCATCCCCGTAAGAAACAATAAATACCGGGTTAATTCCACGTATATGAATAAGTAGTATTTGCTTGGTGAGATTGTGCGGTGTAGTAAGCCTAACCAGTCACTTACTATATGTTTTAGCAAGTTTTTTTTTTTTTTAAATTAAATGACGAGGCACTACCTCTGTAAACTTTACAGGAAGTTGAAATTCGAACATTATTCTAAACATTCGAACATTGTTATAAATTTATTCTAACAGACCTTCATATTTTATGAAATTTTTTTTTTCTCTGTGAAACTCTTTTCTATATGACCCCGAGGGAAATGTTCTCATAATGAAAATAACTTTTAATGTAAGTACCGTTAAATGCATGATTTTTTTAAATTCAAATTTGCAACGGACTATGAATTTTAAGGATTTTTAAATTTAGATACAATTTTAAGCGTTACATTTTTTGCCAAAAATTTTACATCAGCAAAATCATTTTTGAACATATGGGGAAAAATTTATAAAAATTACCAGTCTTAATTGATTTTTATTTGTAGTGACAATTTTTGAAAGTATCTTCTAACTTTACCTTATTTTTGTGTTGATTTTTTAATATAATTTTTAATTTTCACAAATTATGTCTAAATTTTCGCAAAATAGGTACCTCTCATAAAAACCTAGGCAGACCCCTGTTAATAATAATTATTATTACTATGATATTTTTAGATTGAGTTTTACTTGTCATTCATTGTTCATCATAACTAATTTTAACTCCTTTAAAAAAAATTTAACTTAATAACTTTAGAATTAAAAAATATAAGTTAATATGTATTTATAAATAATGTTATATTTCTTACTAGGTAATGGTTTTAGACTATTTCAAGATATGTATTATATTATAGTCAGATTATTAAGACATAAAATATAAGAAGTGATTAATTATAAAAATCTGTGGTGGAAAATTTTAATCTTTCAATGATTTAACTTTGAATAACACTTATTTTCTTGAATAATAAAAAAGGGTAGACAATGGTGAAATATTATATATAAATTATAGTTAATAAACATCATATATTGTTTTAAATAACATTAAGATACTTTCGAATATAATAGTTATAAAGTTCTCTAATATAAATATTAAAAAAATGAAGAAAAAATTATATTTGATTTTAAATAATAATTATTTATATATATTTTCATTATACTTTAGCAAAGCTTAAACATTTATTAAACATGTATTTACTTTTGAACATTTTGTAATTTTTTTTACTGTAATTATGATTTTTTTTTTTGCTATTAAAAAGAGTTATAGTTTTGTGAAAATGAAACGGAGAAAAGTTTAAAGTATGCCTAATAAATTTAAATCAAATTGAATTGAAAGTAATGTAATCATTTGTAACATTTTTATATTTACTGTGCTCGTAATAAACAGAAATCCAATAATATTTATTTTAAAAAATTGAATTTTTCCATAAAATGTGCAAGTTTCATGTTATAAAAAATAATATGAATTTTTTTTTCTTCTTACTCATTCCTTTGAAACCATAAATATTGATGTTAAGTGCCTTCACTTTTTTTGTTTTGTTTGATTATTTGTATAGTTTGATATCTTCAAAGTATTAACTATATCAGTATTTTATTTCAGGAAGCTCATGTTAACATGTGCTATAAGCATTTCTATTATTTTGTTACTGAATTCGACCTAGTCAGTCAAAAAGAGCTGGAACCTTTAGTAAGTTAAACCATACTTAGTTTCTAATTTTTAAAAAGTATTATTTCATTTATTCAAATGAATTTCAATTTAGTGCCTTAATTGTCCTCTAACTTAATTAATGGTTTCTAATTTAATTCAGAAAGATCTCTACTTTAATTGTAACTTTTTAATGTTGAACATTTTATACATTAATGACAACTTCTAAAAACTGTAATAATTTTTCTAATATATTCCATTATGCATCATTATAAACAACTGGTCTGGTTGAGACAAAATGTAGATAATGCCAGGGTTTTAAAAAAAATCAATACATTTTTTATACTCGTTTTAGTTTACTTTTTAAAAATTAAATATGTACTTTAAGGGTTAATTTTTCTATTCTTACATTTCTGGATAATTTTAAAATTTTCAAAATTTTTTTTTTTAATGTTTAAAAAGTACTTAAAAGGTGCTTATTTTATATTGAAGGATATAGCTACGCACCCTGTAATAAAATATCTGAATGAAAAATTTTTTTTTCTATGATTTTGATGTAAAAAGTTAATAACTAATGAGATTTTTCTGATTCATATTGATTCCTAATTTATTCATATTGATGATTTTTTTTTCAGGCTGAAATGACTAGCAATATTTGCAAGAGTAGTTTTCAACCAAAACGGTAGAAGTTATTTGTATTTTATTTATTGTGTTTGTTTTGCTTTTGTACATATCGTTATTGTGGCTATACTTAAGTGAGAAACACTTTAACATTTATTTAGTCTAAATTATTTATAGTATATTGAACTATTATATTTTTTATCATTATTTTGTCATAATTTTCATTTTAACTATTTAATATGTACTATTCCAATTGTTTTTATTTATTTTTTTAATATCTATTTGGAATATTAGTATTTCAATATTTACATTTTTTAAATCTTTCGAGTTTTTTATTTAACAAAAGCTGTTTTGTTTATTATGCATTAATAATTGTGAATATTATTGCCCTTCAGTATTCAATCAATACTGATTCACGTAATTGATTTTTACACCGAATTTTAAAATTGTTACAAACTAGAAGTGTCATTTTTTAGGTATGTCTAGTTGGTAATATTGATTACTTTTATGTATTAATACATTGGGAAAAAATCTTTAAAATATTGCTTTATTCTTATTTGTTTATATATAATTTTATTAGTTTTTGCTCTATTTATTTTAATATATTTTATGAAATCATTCTTTTAAATAGAAATTTAAAGAACTGTTTTTAATATTTGAAGCATTAATTTCAAATTTTTAGAGCAAAAAAAACTCCTTGTGTTATTAGAAGAAAAAGATTTTCATAAGAAAATCTAAATTTACAGCTATCATGATATGTATCGAGGTAAAAGCAGTTTGAAATTATAAAAGAAATAATCTTCTTTCTTTTCATCTTTTTAATAGTAGGTTTATTAGTTTTTGGACAGGGAAACTATTTATTCTTGAATTTTTTTAAAGCAGAAATTACTTTTACCTTTATGAACTCTTGAATGCTTCATTTTAAAAATAACTTATTTTAAACTGAAACTAAACATTTGATAACAAATTCACTCCTCCCTGAAATTCTGAACTAGTGTAACCCATGTCTATAAATAATACAAGAAATGAAATGTTTGTATTTGGAGCACATAGGGTAAAATTTAAGCCTAATAATTTTTAATTATATTTTTTATATTTTGTGACTAGGGGCAAACATTAAATTGGTCCTATAAGCAATTCTATCTTATTTGACGCATAAGTTCATCAAAATATGCTAGATAAAAATGGGTTATGATAATGAAGTTTTGTGTTTATTGTACTTACTTTAGAGCATTTATAGTTTTTCAACTTATTTATTTAAGAGTATTCTTTTTATTCCTAATTTTTATTGGACTTTAAAACTTATGCTTGAAATTTGTTCTGTTAAATAGTTTTTTTTATTTACAGTATACAAATTGCAATTTACAGTACACAAATATTTACAATATACAAATTTCTCTACAGAGGCTATTCTAATATTTTACTTTTAAGCATTATGATACTTATTACTAACAGTAATCATGTGTAAAATTAGCACCTTCCAAAACCATAATTGTACGATATACTAGTTTATTTTTTTTCTGATTTATATAATTTAGAATAAAAATTATTTTAAGATACGTGTTACTTAACTGTTTAAAGGTAAAAGACATAATAAAATATTGATGTTAACTCTAGTTCTGGGTAATAACAGAATTTTAACATCATAACATACTTCAAGGAAACATTGATATTTCATATTATATAGAGGTATTCCACGTTACTTTATTTTAACATTGGTCTATATTCTCATCACTCAATTTTAAGTTTGTAAGGATTCATGATAATATAATATTTGATAATTATCATTATCAATAATAATGATAAACAATATCAACGTTTTTGAAATGTACCACTGTCATGATATGATTATTATCAGATAATTATCATTATTGATATTATTCATAACATTATCTTATTTAATNGTCTAGTTCTGGTTAATAGCAGAGCTTTAGCATCATAACATACTTCAAGGAAATATTGATATTTCATATTATATAGAGGTATTCCACGTTACTTTATTTTAACATTGGTCTATATTCTCATCACTCAATTTTAAGTTTGTAAGGATTCATGATAATATAATATTTGATAATTATCATTATCAATAATAATGATAAACAGTATCAACGGTTTTGAAATGTACCACTGTCATGATATGATTATTATTAGATAATTATCATTATTGATATTATTCGTAACATTATCTTATTTAATTTCTGTTGACATTTATTATCGTCATTAGTAATTATTGTATATTCATCATTTATCATAAGACTTATATCTATAGAACAGAAAGTATATATTGTAAAAAAAAAATTTCCGAATATCATTATTGTATTATTTAAAAAATATCAATATTTCATGATATATTTGTTTAGCTTTTATTAGATCATTTTAACCTAGTCATTTTTTTTACCAAAATTAATTAGAATAATTGTGCATGATTGTTTCATAAGACTGTAGGTACACCTGTAATGAACAAATATTTTAATAGATGTTAATCAGTTGTCCTTATTTTCTATTATAGTTTCAATTTTCCTGTGTTCATAAATGTTTTGTTTGTTCCTGTGTATAATAAAGTCCTATAGGATAGTATATTTTTACTTTTTAACTATACCTGAATAACCATATTTTGGGGATGGTTAATTTATTAATCATTTTTCTTGCTTTGTTGGTAGTACTCAAAAATCTTTGAAATTAGTAATGCAGATAAGTAATATTAATTTGGGATAATATTGTAATACCTGCTACTAGAGATTTCCTATGGTTTTTAAATCTGACTACAGAATTAGAATCTTGAAACTATGTAAAACTAAAATGAGAAGTTATTTTACGAATTCTTATTTTCTTTTTCGTAATTTGTTCATAACCAATTATGGTTATAAATTATTATTTATAAATTTGAAAGCCAACTTCTATTTTAGTCGAAGCTTATTTATATGTACTCAAATATAAAACAAATTTTTTTTATATTTTTTAAACTCTAATCGTTGAATGTAATGCTATTAAATGTATTGGAACGTATTTCATTGGGTGGAAAAAATTTTATGTATATAATATCTGTTAAATGTTTCATATTGCATTTTAGTATTGATGCAGGAAATACTGCAGAAAATTATTTCCAGTTGCACAGAAAATTAGTTGTATGACTTTTAAATGAATACTAAAGGTTATCTAACATTGCATTTCAAGTAGTTAAGTTTATTCATTGCTCACCAGTAAATGCAATGCCATTTTTTTTAAATAAATTTTTATAAGATGAATGTACTTTTTAAGACCAGTATACTAAGAATCTTAGTTATTGTGTTTAATATATTGTTAACTAATATGAAGTATGTAGGTAATATATTTAAAGTAATAATAATGCAAAAAAGTTTTTAAGTTTATTTCTTTTGCCTGTAGATATTGAATAACTGCCAAGGAAATACTTTTTAAAATTTTTATCTTGACACATAGACAATCATAGACCACCGTTACGTGTAGTGCCGTACATTTTAACATGTTTTTTTTAATGTTGGATACATCTAAACATGTGTTTCCTCATTTAATAATTTGCATTTTTATAAGAAGCACTTAGTTCACTACTTTTGTTAGATTTGAGAAAGGATTTATAACTAATCATTCCATTTTTATATGTATAAAAATGCATTCTTCGATAATAACCAATCACAAAAATTTGTAGGATTTGAAATATTAGATTAGCCAAGCAAATATTTCGGCATTTATTGTATTAAAAATGAAAAGTTTTTTTTTTTTAAAAAAAATTTAATTTGCAAGCACATTTTAAAATATTTTTTTTTCACATCTTGAACATAGAGATAGGAATTCAAATTCTAATAACTTGGTATGTTTGTTTTCAACAAATGTACAATTTTTCTAAATAAATTCTTGCATATACATATGACTATACTGTAACTATATATATGACTATATAATATATATATGACTATTTCTAAATAAGGCCTCTTTTTTAATTTGTAAATCATTGTTTTTCATGCATTTGTATTTGAATTATGACCGGTGTTAAAAATTGATATTTACATAATATTTATAAATTTGATTATTGTTTATGAAATTATTCATTTGTTTTAAACTCAGTTATTTTTATTAAAAAAATTTTTTTTCCTTCCTTTATTTATTTTATTTTACGGAGATGAACTACAGTCACTACATTGAAATGTTTGTAACTGTTAAGTTTCCGAAGCTGTGTAATTTATTTTCCCTGAACAAGTTTAAACAACTGTGTATACTAATATATTTATAGGAAAAAATATAATGAATGAGTTATTCTGCAAATTTTCATTACTACATCAGAAAAGTTGTTAAAATAAGTAAATAGTTGGATTGAACTAATTTTCCACAATTATGCAAAGGATTTACATCCACGAAAGCTGATTCTGAGAAAAACAAATTTCAAATTACTTGTATTTTTGTTTCATTTGAAACCGTGAAAATAAAAATATAGTCGAATGTCACAATAATATTTATTTGTAACCCCTAAAAATTTAAAAACAAAATTAAAAATTTTTAATGTAGGGAAAAAAATTACGTTTAAAAAAAAATTAGGTTAGACAAAAACAGTTATTTCTTGACCAACTTGATTTCCCCCGAATTCCTCCCTAATCATCCTTACTAATAATTTCTAACGTTACTTTTTAAACTCTAATCGTTGATTGTAATGCTATTAAATGNCAGAAACCATTTTTCCCCAGTTCGACTCACCTTTACTGTGGAATAACTCTTGGGGAGAACTGATTTTTCAAGTTATTAATAGGTGAAAGTTTAGTAATCCTCAAAATGCAAAAAAAAAAATGGTAATCTAATCGTTATTTTTATGAAAAATGGATGTATACCATTCTTCCCCTTTGGTCTTCCTTTATCACGTGAATAGTGTTCATTTTTTCCTTTAGGAGTTCTGTAAAATGACTTTTAACAGAAATCACAATTGTGACGCTATTGTAACATTAACATTGTTGTTTTATTCATTTTTAATACTTTGTTGTAATCATTTAAAAAAGTATGCATACAATTATTTTTTAGTTAATAGTGGACTAAAATTTAAAGTTTATTAATTTTCAAAAAAAAGAAAAAAAGAAATTTACTTAAATAATTTTCTAGCTTATAAATTTTTTTTCATTAATTATAAGAGTAATTAACAACTACAAAAATTTGTTTTATTTTTATGTGTGAAAGTGATGACCAAATATTTTTTTTGTACCCTAAGGACTCTTCGTATACATCATTATCTCTTTTTGGCTAGGTATTGTTATAATTTGTCATTGCAAATTTTTTTTTTCTAGCCAATTTGTTTTTTAATTCTCTCTCCCCTATTGAGGTAGTGTAATTTTTACAGATTTAAATTAATTCGGGTTATTTTGGATTGATTATTTATTGATTTGTTAATATAAAAATTGTGTTATCTTTGTTCTGTCCTCAAATATCAAGGTTTGGCTGGTATCTGCTTTAAAATAAATTTGCTTGTTAAAATGTTCATAATATCATTATGAAAAATTATTTATGCAATAAAACTTCTTATGCTCAAAAATAAAAGCTTTCTTTTCTGATTTGCATAAATATTTGATATCTAATTTGACTATTTCACTTCAATGATAATATTGTAATATTTTAACTATTCTTTTAATTATATCAATTTATTTAATGATATCAAATTACGTTATTGTGTTACATTGAATTTTTATTTTAGTATTTTAAGTTCTTGTCTTTTTTTACCTAACTTTAAGGATACTGAAAAATGGACCTTGTGACAATTCTTTAAAATATGTATTCTGTCTATATGTTTCTGTTCAAATTGAAAATGTTTTATAGACTGGACATAGAAAATAGATATTTGAGGTTTTTTAAAAAATAATAGCTAATCAATAATAAATTAATATCCAATGAATCCCTATCTTCCTTAAAGTGATAATGATTTATAGAGAAAGTGAAATTCCTTATTTGAGATTATATTTTTGTTTGCTTACTTTACTTATGTTATTTTTTTTCTTGCACAATAATTAGTGAAATATGTTTTAAAATGTAAATCAGTGTATAGATTCTTTGTTAAATCTGTTTTATCTTTGGCATCAAATGCATGTGATTGATCTGTGTGATTTTTTTTTTATGTGTATGTGGGAATGTTAATAAATAGTTGAAAGGAATTTGTATTAGTTTTTCATTATAAATTTTCTAAGTATTAAACATAATATACATTAATGACATATATACATAATGTATATAATATACATATATACAAACATAATATACATATATACAATAATGTTTTCATTGTCGAATTTAATAAAAAAAAATTCACATGTGAGTAGAAATATAATGTGAATAAAAATGTCTCTGATGTAACCCGTATATGAAATAAATTTTTATGAATTTCTTGCTAGATTTAATTAAAAAAAATAGAGATGTTATTCTGCTTTAGCATAGAACTAAAAATATCAGTACTTTGTGCCGGCTAAAAAAAAAAATTTCTTTTTCTGGTAAAAAAATTTAATTTTTATCTCGTAAAAAATATTTTTTTTTGATGTAAAATATAGTTTTTTTCTTTTATGTATTTAATTGGCAAATTTGTACCACTTTTTTGATGGCATCTTGTTTTAAAGTATGTGGAAAATACTTTTCAAATTTTTATTACTTTTAGGTACTTCGTTTCAAACTGATTTCGGATGAAAGAATTATTTTCAGATACCCATATATGTCTACAAATATTTATAAAAAAAAAATCTGAAAAAAATTAGTTTTGATTCGATCTATCTTCTGATATCTGTTTTACCAAAATTTTATTAATTTTTTCGCAATATGAGATTTAAATTTACAACTAGTTTTATTTGTAGAAATGGACGTTATATTTTTTGAAAATGCCTACGCCTGTCTAGCTAACATCACTATCAATCAAATTATGTTTAAGAATTATGTCAAATCTTTTTTTTTGTTGCCATATTTACCTAATTTTTCAAAGGCATCTGCTTAGTTGATACCGACTAGCGAACCATATCAAGTTATATTTTAGACTCGCGAAAAGGGTACAGATTAAGAAATTTTTCCTTCACTGGATTTATTGGAAATCGATTTCTTTCAAAAGATTGAGCTTCATATTTACCAAATACGTCCATGTTAGACTTAAAATAGTTATAAAAAATAATATATATGTATATATTTCCTATTTATTATCTTGGTATCAACTGAACTTGGCACAATATTTTATATTAGCTTATAAACTTTCACCGTCTACTACCGCTAACTGGTCAGCAAACAAATAGTTGATTAGCTTTGTAACATTTCTCCTGCTGCTCTTGGCAGTATTTCTTTCGTGATCATGTTATTACTATTTTTACTGCAAATCTGATACCTAAAAGTCGGGAATCGAACTTGCTGTCTTCCCTCTTACTCTCGTTTGCGAAAATTCACCATTGGCAAGCTCTATTCTGCCTATGGTAATGTTGCTGCGAATCAGTGGATTAGCTGGAGTAAAAGGCCAAAGAAATATTATTTGAAGTAAAAATCGAAAAAAAAAACTATATATCTCAAAGAAAGAAAGAAAACCTCTTTGGGATCCATNTGACAATTCTTTAAAATATGTATTCTGTCTATATGTTTCTGTTCAAATTGAAAATGTTTTATAGACTGGACATAGAAAATAGATATTTGAGGTTTTTTAAAAAATAATAGCTAATCAATAATAAATTAATATCCAATGAATCCCTATCTTCCTTAAAGTGATAATGATTTATAGAGAAAGTGAAATTCCTTATTTGAGATTATATTTTTGTTTGCTTACTTTACTTATGTTATTTTTTTTCTTGCACAATAATTAGTGAAATATGTTTTAAAATGTAAATCAGTGTATAGATTCTTTGTTAAATCTGTTTTATCTTTGGCATCAAATGCATGTGATTGAGCTGTGTGATTTTTTTTTTTTTTTTATGTGTATGTGGGAATGTTAATAAATAGTTGAAAGGAATTTGTGTTGGTTTTTCATCATAAATTTTCTAAGTATTAAACATAATATACATTAATGACATATATACATAATGTATGTAATATACATATATACAAACATAATATACATATATACAATAATGTTTTCATTGTCGAATTTCATAAAAAAAAAATTCACATGTGAGTAAAAATATAATGTGAATAAAAATATCTCTGATGTTACCCGTATATGAAATAAATTTTTATGAATTTCTTGCTAGATTTAATTCAAAAAAATAGAGATGTTATTCTGCTTTAGCATAGAATTAAAAATATCAGTCCTTTGTGCCAGCTAAAAAAAAAAATTTCTTTTTCTGGTAAAAAAATTTAATTTTTTATCTCATAAAAAAAATTTTTTTTATGAAAATTAGTTTTTTTCTTTTATGTATTTAATTGGCAAATTTGTACCACTTTGTTAATGGCGTCTTGTTTTAAAGTATGTGGAAAATACTTATGTATGTGGAATTTTTATTACTTTTATGCACTTTGTTTGAAACTGATTTCGGATGAAAGAATTATTTTCAGATACCCATATATTTCTACAAATATTTATAAAAAAATTTCTGAAAAAAATTATTTTTGATTCGATCTATCCTCTGATATCTGTTTTACCAAAATTTTATTAATTTTTTTCTTCATTTTTTCGCAATATGAGATTTAAATTTACAACTAGTTTTATTTGTAGAAATTGATGTTGTATTTTTTGAAAATGCCTACGCCTAACATCACTAACAATCAAATTATGTAAAATCTTTTTTTTTTTTTTTTTTTTTGAGACAGAGTAATGCTNTTTTTTTTTTTTTTAGCCAAATTTACCTAATTTTTCAAAGGCATCTGCTTAGTTGATACCGACTAGCGAACCAGAACCATATCAAGTTATATTTTAGACTAGCGAAAAGGGTACAGATTAAGAAATTTTTCCTTCACGGGATTTATTGGAAACAGATTTCTTTCAAAAGATTGAGCGTCATATTTACCAAAAACTTCCACGTTAGACTTAAAATAGTTATAAAAAAATAATAAATATGCATATATTTCCTATTTATTATCTTGGTCTCAACTGAATTTGGCACAATATTTTGTATTAGCGTATAAACTTACTGCCACTAACTGGTCAGCAAAAAAACAGCTTATTAGCTTTGTAACATTTCTCCTGCTGCTCTTGGCAGAAAATTCACCATTGGCAAGCTCTATTCTGCCTATGGTAATGTTGTTGCGAATCAGTGGATTAGCTGGAGTAAAAGGCCAAGGAAATATTATTTAAAGTAAAAATAGAAGAAAAAAAAAAACTAACTCAAAGAAAGAAAAAAAACTTTTAGGGATCCATTTCTGCATGCGATTATCGCCCCCGAGAGAAAAGGAAAATTTTATTGCTGAGTTCTTCACAGGAGAATAATCGGTTCTCATTTTTTAATAACGGAGTTTCTAAGTGAGTAATTGCATGCAAGGTCCCTAAAATTAAGATAGGGTAAAAAACGTGAAAAGAGCCCTGCGCCAACTGTAAATCAACTAATAATGTGTCAATCAGGTAATAAATGTTTGAAGCCCACACTTTCAAAGAAAAATTGCAGGAAAAAAACGTGCGCATTCAAAAAAAAAAAAAGTTATTTAAGCTTTTCACAGGATCAGTCGTTTCTTAAAAATGACAATTTAAAAATTTAACCGTTTAGAAATAATGCAGCGCAACCATGCTTTGAAAAAAAGTAAAAAAATAATTCACTCTGTACTCTTACTTCACTCTGTAACTGTGACTGTAATTAGTCATCGGTGCAGTTTGTTTATTTTTTACAATAAGTTTTATTGGCATATTTGGATTATTAAATACGTTGTACAAAATTTAATATGATATTTGCTTGCTGTGAACTTTTTGCACTTGGTTTAAACAGGAGTAAAGAATAGCCTACTTTCCTAATTGTGGTACTTATAATATTTTAACTATTCATTTCGCCATTGTTATTTCGCAATGATGAAATTTAGTTTAAGAGTGGATAGTTAATGAAATCTTCAATGCTATATTTTTTCAATTTTTAGGCGCATGATTGTACACAACTTAACTAGCCAACTAACTTATTAATTAAAAGAATTATTTTGAGGTATAAATTATTTAAAAGAAATATATCAATCTGTTATTTGGTGAAGTGGCCTTTCACTTTTATTGCTTTATTTCATATTTGTTATTAACAGGGGTGGCCCAACAGTCTTCGATGCTTCTTGGTGAAATAAAAAGTTCCATCCTATACTCATATTTATTTATGAATGCTGACGTTGCTCAATAAATGTTTCCCGTCTTTCAAATGAAAACGAAAGTAATAACTTGAGGGCGTTATCTTTTGAGTGGAATACACTATTAATATTTAATTTTGATTAAATCTTTACTAGACTAATTTAGAGAAAACAATGCTAAATAAACTATCAGAGTAATTAATAGTGATGAAACTTGTTTTTTTTTTTTTAAATTAAATCTTCTTTTGAACAGTACCCTAAATGTGAAAAATGTACATAAAAGTAATTATCTAGTTACAGGTAGCCATTTATGCTATCTAATTTACGTCCACATAATACTTGACCAACATAATTTTTTAACTTAAAATTAAACTATGCATGTCCACTGACATTTCACAGAAAAGATGAAAAAATTTCAAACAAGCTGAGTATGATTTAGGAATTTATTGTACCCTCTGAAAAGAAATTGATGATACGACAACATAGTTTTTTTTAAATATATTTTGGGGACATATATGTCATATATTGTGATCTGCGAACGAACTACAATCGCCAGGACGCCAATTGATTTTAAAGCTTAAAATTTTTTTTAAGGAAATAAAACAATGTAGAGATTTGCAGGAGTTATGTGATGCCACAATAGGCATTACACGCTTCCTAGCTTTTAAAATTTCTTTAATTACTTAAATTAATATCTTTAATCATTCTTAATCAATAAAGTTGAAAAATTTTGGCAACAGCCTAGTAAATACACGCCAGAAACTATTGGAAACTTTCAAAAATCGAAGAAAAAGACAAACTCATAGCCTCCTCTCCACAAACAAGTACATAATTTTTTAAAAATATTTTTTTGGCCTCTTTTCAAAAGTAGTTGCAAATGGGTGTCAATATAAAAATACAATTAAAAGCTCCTATGTCACATCATATGTAATGTCCCAGATTAAATATTTGATTGCATTTCAGCAATTATGTATCTAATCCTGCTAGACATGTCTAATCCTCCATCTATCCATGGAGGCTTGGCAGGTATTTGCATACCTGCCAAGTCTCCTGTTTTTTAACGTAGACTCCTGTATTTTATGACTATCTCTCGTTTTTCTGTATATTCTCAAATTTCACCGTATTTGTGGAGAAATAGTTTTAAAAAAAAATTGGTGATAGAATATCCACTGATGAAATTTGGCAAAAATGCTTATCTTATTCCTCAACAGATGGTGTTATCGCCAGTACTGCCGAATTGTGAGTGTTAGTAGTTTAAATCTAGCCGTGATGAAAGGTGAACCGTGTTCAAATCCCAGGGATGGCCGGTCAATACAAATTCTGCTTTTGGCTTGCACCTACCGCAATGCTGACGTGAAATATCCTCAGTGGTAGTCGGAAGACGGGTTAGAGTCCCTTTGACGTCAGGTTAACCATTGGAGGTTTTTCACTCCATGTAACTCAAATGTGGTTTAGTTCTATCAAATAGTAATCCACAAAGACAAATTTCTCTCAGGAGTTCCCTTGTCTTCTTGATAGGGTTCAAAATTGCTAGGCTACTGAATTGAACGTTTGCAGTCGTAAATCCAAAATTGGATCAGTTTTTCAATGACGATTATAGATTAAAATAGTTCAAGCATTTATAAATATTGGTTTAAAAAATCTTCTTTAGATTAAGATTTATATACATATTTTTTAATTCGCTAAATGTAATTGCTTATATTATTTCCAGTTATGAATTTCTCTTTTTGACTTACATGATTGTGCACATTGTATCAAAACTTCACACGTAGCCTAGAAAATCTCGCTACTAAAATCTTTATTTTATTTCTCCAATGTTGGCAGGCATGCATTTGCATGATAGTATTGCCATCCAACGTAAAAACTGGTGGATATTTTCAAAATGGTACTTGCTTGCACCAGTAACCTTCGCCAAGGTACCAAAGAGACTTCTTTAACTTTAAAAACTTTTTTTTTAAAAATGTAGTGGTTTGTCTGCAGTAGCTCAGCATTATATCTTTCGAATTTGACCTTATCTGTGATTTTGTTTTGTTTCTTGCATCCCAAAAACTGTAAAAAAATAAAATTGCTGATTGCCAATCGATTATTATTTTCTTCAGTTAATTTAAATGAGATGAAGCAAATATGTTTGTGCTACATCCGAGTTCTTGGGATAATAATTATTTACAATGTGTGTATGAATTCAAGATGAATATTGTAAAGGGTTTGTAGAAATGCTATATGAGGCTGCTATTGAAATAATTTTATAGTCTATATTTGGGTGGATTAATATGATACTTAGTGAGTTAATTCATAAAAAAAAAAGTTATGAAATGTTTGGTTGAATATAAAAGTTATGAAATATTGATTATACACTGTGGAAACTTCATAATTTTGAAACAATTATATATGCTTTGAAAGTTTCGGAGAGATTACTGTATTAGCTCTTATTCCTAACTTATTGTCAAGTGTTAGTGCTAATTGAGCTTTAGCACTCTTAAAATTAAAAAAAAAAAAATTTCAGAAATGTATTAACTTAAAGGGTATAACTCATGGCCACCATGGGCAAATATATGTTTTCTTGAAGGTAGAAAATGTCAGTTATGAAGTTAGAAAAGTTGCGTATTGTAGAAAGTGGTTAGTGGAAACAGGTCACAATACGGAAATATCTCATGAAGTATTTATTGCAGCCTATGGATCATACAGACATTTAAATCTCTTCTCATTATAAAACACTTTTTTTTTTCATTCTATTCCAGAGTTTCTCTCTAGGAATAAAAAAGGGTGGGGCACATCCTCTCTGTAAAGGGGATTCACTTAATATCGTAAATATTTTTCAGAATGAGTAATATTATGTAATAACTGAATTTTATGCTCAATAATTTTTAAATTTTCCTCTCATACTATTTTATGAGTATATTTCAAATGGTAATTCTCTTTCATTATCAAAATAAGAGAAAAATTTGTGGTTTATACAGTGTTTTCACTACAGCGCGAGAACGCGAGAATCTCGCATATTTTTTTCTTTTCTCGCATTAAAAAATTATCACCGCGAGAAATTCGCGCATTCTATAAATCAATTTCAAAATTAGCGAATTTCTCGCATTTTGGAAAAGGCTTCGAATCGCGCCCTTTAGAATAAAATCCGTTTCACTTTTATTCCTGGATCTTTCATTATTTTCAACATCTGCCCCGTTATCTAGCTTCCCGAATTACCAGTATTGTTCAGAACCTTTTCGAACAACAAAACACAAGTACGGAACCCCTTTCAGAACACATTTCTCTACAACCAGGTGTTTACCGTAGTTAAGGTTTCTTCATGTAAGACGCTCAAATTTTTTATGTGCTAATGTAGATGTAATGTAAGGTGGACAAATGCCTTGTAAAGGCAAAATCTTCTATGATGATGCACCAAAAATATTCAATGCTTTAAAAAATAGAAGACGTTAAAAATGTATTATTATTAAAGAAATGATTTTTTTTAAAGAGATTTTGTTTTTTTAGTTTTTTGAAATCTCACTTAACTTCTTGAAATCTCACCCTGTTTTTGAGAAAGGGTGAGAAATTCTCACCCATTTTTTTTCTATGATGAAAACACTGTTTATAAAAATAATTAAAGGTAATGCTAAAAGGCAATCTCTGTGTATATTTTTTTCTTCTGAAAAAGTAAACTAGCAAATAATTATTAATTGGTAATCAACTTGAAAGCTTTTTCTTATAATTTAAACAAAAAATTATTGGAAAATAGGATTTAAAGATGCTTTTTTTTCAGAAAAGGTATTTATTTAAAAATTAGTTTTAAAGTTTAAAATCACTTAAAAAGAAATTATTAAATCTCCCCCTCCATCCGGAGAAAAAGATACTTATAAAAATTGAACCAGTTGAGAATAATCTTAAAGTAAATATTTGTTATAGTAATAATTTAACCTATAAACACGGATAATTTTTATAGGCGTGTAATTATTATTTAAAATCAACTGTGATGAATAAATTATTTCAAAATGGAATAAAAATAAAAATGCAGTGTTTTTAAGGGATGGTGGCTTACTTTTACAAAAAGGGCAAAGACAACACATTTATTTTATTGGGATCAAAGATATGTGGGGCAGGCCGCCCTTCAAAAAACTCTTATGGAGAACACTGCTTTTCTTAACATTATTGTGTAAAAGTTATTTTTTTAACCTAAAGCAATGTCTTTATTTCAGTTTTGACTTTTGAGAAAAGTATTTAAAAATAAAAATTTATTCATGCAGATGATCAAAGTTTGATTTAAGAAGATTTAAACCTTGTATGTCGTTGCTTATATAGTATTTTAAATCAAGATTATCTTATTTAAAAAATGATTTTCTTTAACTTTCAGATATTTGGAAGTTTTCCTGCAGTTTTACGTAATAAGTTTTTGCATACTTAACCAAATTTAATGGCTGATCATCCAGCTCGCAAACTCAGGTATATTGTAATTGTTATTTTGTTTGATGTTGTAGTTGTATGCATTTTTTGCAATTTAAATCATAGTTAATCAAATTTAATGGCTTAACCAAATTTAATGGCTGATCATCCAGCTCGCAAACTCAGGTAAATTGTAATTGTTATTTCGTTTGATGTTGTAGTTGTATGCATTTTTTGCAATTTAAATCATAGTTAACAAATTTAATGGCTTAACCAAATTTAAAGGCTGATCATCCAGCTCGCAAACTCAGGTATATTGTAATTGTTATTTTGTTTGATGTTGTAGTTGTATGCATTTTTTGTAATTTAAATCATAGTTAATAAATTATAAACTCTGATATGTGGATCATAAGCTTCTCTCAAATGATTTTGTAACTAAACTATATTATGCTTTATTATATTAAGAATAACTTGTGTCTCAATTTATCATAAAAGCTGTAATAGTAGTTAAAATTTTATGTTTATAGTAGCTGAATTTTACTTTTTCGTAAGCTGTAAAAAATCAAATAATAAATGAAACAGTTTTTATAACTCAAGGCAATTTTTGAAAAAGAAGGAAGAGCATGCACCAAAAAAAAAATGACAGTAGTTAAAAAATTTTATTCATTATATTTTGTTACTTCATTTATAGTTAATAAATTTGTATGGAAAATTTCTATCAGATTTTTTTTTCCTTGCCACACTCTGTAACATTTAACTTGTTAACATTATGATAAATATTTTGTTTACGTAGTGCTAAGTTTGTTTTTTATCAGTTAACAAAAAATTAAATATTATTTTTTTTTAAAATTTATTTCTTTTATTGATTTTTAAGACCTTTTTATAAATGTTGCGAATTTTTTTTTTTTTTTTTTNTCAATTTATCAATTATTAGACGTATTTTAATATGATTGACCATTTTTGAAATTTTGTATCATTTTGCAAAAGTATTTATTGAATTACTTTTAAGAAATTTTTCATTTAATTTTTAAAAAATATAATTTAACTATGAAGATATGAATAGCTTAGAGACTACAAAAGCTGTTGCATAATTCTTTTGCAAAGTTATAAAATTTCTTTTTTTTTATGAAACAATTTCTTTAACTTTAAAAAAGTGCTTTCTTTGTACACTGTTTTTATGTGTTTTTGTATCTGAATTATTGATGTTTTGTGTCGTAGGAGCACTATTTCATATCTTTTCCTCTGTCCTCTAAATTTCTCATATTTATAAAATCTTTTTATAAGAAAAAGATGTCTGTTGAAGATACATTATCTCTAAGGTAAGATTTGCCCCACCCCTTCCTTTTTTTTTGGCTAATTTTTACTTCTTTTTTAATTTTAATTTTTTTTAATTTAATTTTTTAAATATTTCTTGGATCTATTTCAGTTATGATAGTTAGAAAAGTTGTTGACGCTGTAAACATAATTTTTCGCATTAAGAATGAGGTTTATTAAATTTTTTAAAAGCTTCTTATTAGTTTTATTTAAAAACTAAAAAAATCTAGAGAAGTTAATGAATTAATAGTTTAGTTTTGATATTTTTAGGAAACTTTTTTGTTTAAAACTTTTTTGTTGTAATTAAAACTGAGTCCTTTTTTTTTTAATGTTTTCTTTCATGACAACATTACACACTTACTGTTAAAGCAGGGCATATAACTTTTTTTTACTTTCAGTCAGTAACAGATTAAGCTTGGGTATAGAGCAATTTTATTCATGTAACTAGCTTTTATCAATTGTTGGCAAAGACCGTAGATTTTAGCGTCTATGTATTGTGGCACATAATACAGTTGTACCATCTTATTAAATTTATGAGCTGAGGCACTCATTGCTACCAATCTTATAAGTTATAATTCACACTTATAAGAAAATAATTTCTGATAAATTATTAATTTTTTACAAGTATAAAAATGCTTAAAACTATTCACCATGTCTACTAAGCTCTGCTACTACTTGAAATTGAATGATTCAGAGAAGCTAATATTTAGTAACGCCCATGGTTGACTATGCCTATTTGCTCTGAAGCATTTTTATTTTGTAAGCATCATTGAACAGTCAACCCAATTTTGAGTTCTAGGCTGCCAATGTATAATTCTGTAGTCTAGTAATTTAAAGCCCAATCGATAACGCAGGGAAACTCTTGGATCAAGTATTGGGAGACATTTTTGATGGAACTAACCTGCATTTGCAACAAACCTCACGTGGTTAGCCTCACGGCTAGGCAATTTTAACCCATTATCCGTCTACCGCTGAGGATATTTTACGTCATCACTGTGGTCACTGCGAGCAGAGTATGTAGTTTGTATCGACCAGCCATCACTGGAATTCAATCCTAGGTCATTTCATTGAGGAGTGCTCTATTTCCTGAGCCACTGTGGCTCTGACCCCCCTTATCTCATTACGCCATACCACCTATCCCAATTGTCACATGTCACTGTATGTTATCTAAACATAAAATTGTGCTATTCAGCAGTTCTCTGCAACAATTTGCCTAAAAATAACTGGGGATAACCTTGATATAAACTGACAATTTATTTTTGTATCACTAGGAGGCTTCGCCCCCTGCTCGCTGGCGCTCGCCAACCCCCGGAACTGCTTTCGCAGTTCATTTCGGATTGCTTCGCAATCCGATGCTCGCTTTACTCGCTCATTGGATACGTTCTTAACGTCTAGCTTTTGTATACTTTTTTGAACATTGAAGTTCCGAAAACTTTTCACTGTAGAAAATTCTAAACCTGTGCATTTCAATATTAATTTGAAATTGCAAACAGTTCACATATTTTTCTTAATCACACTATTCTAAATTTCAGTTGTTGAGAAAAGTAACTGTTGTAAGTTTTGTTTTAAAGTCTTTCCCACCAGAGGGCTAAAACCATGTGTTGTAAAACAATATGAAATAGTACTGAACGCCGGATGTAAAGCATCGGCTTCGATGAAGATAATTTTGTGAGAATTTTTTTGATAATTCGGTGAGAATTCACCCGATTAGCCATATGATGCTCACTACGTGCTCTTGCGCGCCGAAGCCTATCAATTAAAACATATTAGCGTTTTATATAATATAGATTAGCCATATGATGCTCTTCCACGCCGAAGCCTATCAATTAAAATGTTTTAGCGTTTTATGTAATATAGATTAGCCATATGGTGCTCACTACGCGCTCTTGCGCGCCGAAGCCTATCAATTAAAAATGAAAACTGTTGCCAACGCGAGAAAAGAAATATCACCGGTTTTATTGATACATACGTACGTATTAGCGTTTTATATAATATAGATGGTTCTCTATTTCTGTTTGATTCAAAAAGCACATATATTGTTGTCATCAGAATGCATGTCTTTTACAGTTTGATTCAATAATTAACACCAAGTTATTATTAATTGTCAGAAGTTATCTATAGCAACTAAGGAATATTAAGACAATTTTTATTTATTGAAATATTAAAAATTCCTAATCATGTTATAGAAAAAAATATGTTTAATATGTTTACTGAATTAGATCCAATTACCAATTCCCCATTCTAAATAGTTTAGCACTTATTTTTTACTTATAGGTAGATGATATTTTGATTTGTATATTAGAATATTCCTCATTTTGAATACATGTAGATACTTTTGATAATTCTCGTTTCTTTCATTTTTTTCCTTCTGTAGTTGCTTAGATAATTCAACATTAAAGTTTACTTATTTGTTATTTTAGCCTTCAGCTTTTACTTCTTTCTACATTTTATTAAATAGAAAATTTTTTGAAAGTGCTAATAAATAGTTTCCTCCTAGAATAACTTGCAATTCAAGTCGTTTTGCCTTATACTTTATCAATGAAAGCATAAGGGAATGAAATTGTTTTACTTGTTTTGCTATCTAAGCAAATAAAATAGTTTTAATTGTGCTTTTTTTATGTAAGTGTAAGTAAGCAAAATGGTTTGGTTTGTAATTTACTAATGAAAATATTAGCAAATGTAATAGTTTTACTTTTCTTTCTCTGAATTAATTCTGTTTTCTGGTAATTATTTTAGTACAACTGGGGAAAGTTTGTATCAGATTCTTGATCTTCCAAAAACAAGTACTCAGGAGGAAATAAAGAAAAAATATCGTCAGGTAATTATGAAACTTTTATTACTGCAATGCCTTTTTTTAAATTTAAAATTTAAGTTTTGAAAAAAAAAACACAACTCTGGTGCTTATCATTAGCTAATCCCTTCTTTTTTTCTTTAAAAAGCTGAGTTATTAATGTTTGACGTGAAAGTAATATTCCATTGCTACCAATTCCGCAATGTCCTTACGCCAGAGCCTTGGGCAGGGGCATAAGAGGCAGTTGCCCTGGGCCCCCGCATTAAAGGGAATAGAATTTTTTTTTTTACATTTTCTTTTTATGAACTATTAAACAAAATATCAAGTGTCAAATCCGTCACTTTTATGTCAGCTTCTTTATTAATCTATTGTATGAACATAATCTATATTTCGTAAAGCCATGGCTCTCTGGGACGAAATTCAGCTAAATTTTCGCAATTACGATGGAAAAATTTGACCAATCAAAAGCCTGTATTTTTACATATCGCGAAATGCAATATGCTTACAAAAATACAAGCTTTTGATTGGCTTAATTGAGCCGTCGTAATTGCAAAATTTTAGCTGAATTTCACCCTAATATCAGCTAGGATATGAATTTTTCACAGCTAGATGACAAAAAAGTTAATAATCCGAAAACTGCATTCGGCATGGTGGACATAGAATTGTCAGAAAATCTATAAAATGGACAGAACAACATTTCTTCTGCCATTGGAGGGAGGGAGAGAGACTTGAGCTATTTTAGGTTCCAGTCAATTTTCTTGTTATTTATAAAGAGGTGAAAAATTTAAATACATCCATAAAGTTTTTCATTTCTGAAGTAGTGGAGCAGGGGGGGGGGCAAGAAAGAATTTGCCCCGGGCCCCAATTAGGCCAAGTGGGGCCCTGTTCAACACTTGTTATCTACTGGTTGCTTAGCTTGAAAAAAACTATCACTGTCAATGCAAGTTTTAATCACTTTTAATTCTAAACTATGCACTATTTACTTTTTCTCAGAAATGAAACAGTCTTAAATATACATCCTGTATAACTGGTAGTAAGTTTTGGTAGTCAAAAATATTCTTTTCCTGCTAATTTACTCCTGCTGCAGAGATCTAAACTGGTTTTTCTACCATGTTTTTCTCCTTTCTAGGCTACTAACAACCCTCCTTAAAATCAAATGGTCAAGCATATGTGTGTCATTTTTGAAACTTAAATATGTTTGCTTGCTCTTTGTAAGTTACAAAAGTGTTCTATATTGTGATTTGTTTCTAGTTAAAATGCTAATTTTAAAATTAAAATAAGAATCCACTTGTTCCACACCTTACCTGTGGAATATATTATTCTTTAACTTTTTTTTACATAATATTTTTATCATATCATTATCATTCCCTATGTTCTCATTGTAAATTCCATTCCCATTGTGTTTGTCAGCCCAAAACAATCAATTCCAACTCTTACAAAATAAGTAATAATCAAGGAAAGTACTACTTTCCCTACCTACATTTTCACAGGTTTGAATTGACTCTACAAATACAGGAGTTTGAAAAGCAGTGATGGAATGTTTAAAATTCACAAAGATGCTATTGAAGACATTAGTTTTCAGCTAGCTAGCAATTGAAGACATTAGTTTTTCTGAAAATTTCTAATGGTGCATTGTCACTGTTTTGCCTTAAAGGTTTGCAGTTTGGTTATAAAATTCGTTTTGAATCACAATTATTGACATGGTTGGAGGATGAGAAACAATATTTTTTTATTTTGGGCCTCTGCAATACCATAATTCTCCATATGTGTGGATTACTGTCCCCTTTAAGGGACATTGATGTATCAGTATGTATTAGTGTACCCTTTGAGGGACATTGATATATCTGTATATCCGTGTTCTCTTTGAAGAACATTGATTTATCTGCATTCTGTGTATCAGCATTCACTTTGAAGGACATTGATATATCTGTATAAGTATGTATCAGTGTTCTCTTTGAGGGACATTGGTATATCTGTATATATCTGTGTTTCCTTTGAGGACATTGATTTATCTGTATCAGTGTTCTCTTTGAGGGGCACTGATACATCTGTATATATTTGTGTTCTCTTTGAGGAACTTTGATTTATCTGTATATGTATGTATCAGCATTTTCTTTGAGAAACATTGATATGTCTGTATTTATATGTATCAGTGTTCCCTTTTAAGAACACTGATCTATACATAATATCTACATATAATAAATAAAGAAATATGTTAAGTAAAGTTTTAACTTTTTGTATATTTTAGTATATTTTATTTGTCTATTTTAGCTAGCCCTAAAGTACCATCCAGACAAAAATCGGGATGATCCTGAAGCTTCTGATAAGGTAATTGATCTGTATTTGTTTTTGTAATGTGAAAAATAAAATAATAATAATAATACTTTTGGTACACAACTAGTGGCATTTATTAATGCAGTATATATAACAAGTTTGAACTGTAGATATGTTTTATTTTTGTGATTTTATAACATTAAAACTAATGATTTCTTTTGAATTTTAGTTTAAAGAAATCAACAAAGCCCATAGTATTCTTAGTGATGAAACCAAAAGAAATATCTATGACAGTTATGGTTCATTAGGTCTTTATGTTGCTGAACATTTTGGCGAGTCCAGTGTAAATACCTACTTCATCCTATCTAGTAAATGGTGTAAAGTAAGTTTGTGCCTTTTATTATTATTTTATATTAATAGTACATTTTTTAATTGTAAATTAATTATAAAGGCTAATTAGAATCTCATATTTTTGGAGAAATATAAATCCTGAAATTAATTTCCTTTTATGAATAAAAACTTATTAAAATTAAATTCTATGAATTTTCGTTATTTTTTGTTTTATCATTTCATTGGTAGCCCCTTCCTTCTCGCTCCTGTGAAAATGACGGGGTGGGGTTTCATCCTCTATTTCTCGCTCCTGTGAAATTTCCGGGCTGGAGTGTTCAGTAGTAATGCACTAATAAGAATAAAACTAATTCATTTCTTTTGCCTGGAAAACATTTTATTTCTCATTTTACTTACCAGATGGCAGTACCAGGATATTTTTAAGGTTATTGTAGATAGTTATTTTATTTTTAACTAGATGTCAGCACTAATCAAATACGTGTATTTGGCAAAATAGGCACTTTTATGACTGTTTTCTTGAAAATTATCCGATCGTTAAGGGGTTAAAAAAAGAATAATAAATAGTCTATGTGTTAATATTGAAAAAATAAATTTGTTACCATGTCAGTAAGATAATTAAAGCTTTGTGTAATCATTGCAAAATCTAGTATAGCTTACCATAGTTATTTTCTTCATATATATATATAATTAAATCTATATTTAGTTTCCCTTTTATTACCAATAATAATAATTAATATGATATAAATTGCCTTTTAATCTATATTTTTTACCAATCTATATTTTAGGCTTTGTGCATATTCTGTGCTGTAATTACTGGGTGCTATTTTTGTTGTTGCTGCTTTTGCTGTTGCTGTAACTTCTGCTGCGGTAAATGCAAACCTCCTATGCCTGAAGAAGAGGAGGAAGAAGCTGCTGAAAGAGAAAAGGTAATTTTCATCTTCATAGAACCAATTAATCTAGTTAATGCAGCTCTGTCGTTATTGATAATCTTAACAAACTAAAGAACAGAAAAAAGTAATATTTCACAAATATTAAATCCACTCACATCAATCTTAAATATTACAGTTCTGTTAGGCTAATTAATTTTAACTATGTATTCCTTAATCCTTGATTATAATAAGTAAATAGATTAGGAATATGCTTTCCCTAAGCATTTAAATGAATTGTCATATTTTAAATGTATGTAATTTTTAAATGATGATTTTTAAAAAAAATGAAAACAGACTATAATCACTTTTGCAGATTTGTAGAATTTTTATTTTTTATTATATAATTATTGTAGAATGTATTATTTTAAATAATGCTGTAAAACAATGGCAAGAATATTACATAATGTATCATGCTATGAATATTGTATTACAGTCAATTCGCTATAACTCGAATATTACTATAACTCGATTTTTTTATGAGGTCCCGACCCTTTTATCTTCAATTTCATGTTAATTATTCTCGATTACTCGAATTTTACTCCCTTTAACTCGATTTTTTTT